GACCCTTTGTTTATTCACTAGCTACTCTGCTAGAAAACAATTTCACACCTTTTCCTCTCACCTCAAACCTCCAAGCCCTCCTTCCCAGTCTCTATCAGCTTTTGACTTGGCTTCCTATTTCACTGTGAAAATATCAGCATTCAGAAGACAACTTTTACAGGTTCCCACACTGACCTTCCTGCCATTATCTGTGTTCATGTATTTACTCTGCCTTCCCTGCTCTTCTCTGGAGGGACAGCCTGTGTGCCCAAGGCTAGACCATCTGCTTGTGCATTAGATCTTATCCTCACTCACAAACTCCAGCACACAACTCCAGAAATCTTCCTTTATTTTTTTATTACTATTTCCCTTCTCTACTAAATCATCCCCATCAGTAGAAAAACATGCTGTTATTTCTTCCATATTAAAAAGTTTTCTCCTTGATCCCATACCCCCTCCAGTTACTGCTTCATGGCTTTATGCCTCTTTTTTTTTTTTTTTTTTTGCAAAATTCCTCAAAAGAATAATATATATCAGATGTATCTGAATCCTTTCTTACTTGCTATCAGGCTTTTATTCTTACTCCATTTTCTCCAAATGATACCACTGATCTCCATATATTTAAACCAATGGTCAATTCTCTATCCATATTTACTTGATCCAATAGTATTGTTTAATCAATCCCTCTTCCTTAAGGTACTTTCTTCACTTGGTTCCTAGGACATAACATTCTCTTTCCTCTTAATTCTAGGGATCCTCCCTCTCAGTATTCTTTGATGGTTTCTGCTCATCTTCCCAGCCCCTTGTAAACACTGGAGTTTCCTCCTCCATCAGGCTTAGTGAAGTGAAGTCGCTCAGTCGTGTCTGACTCTGCGATCCGTGGACTGTAGCCTCCCAGGCTCCTCTGTCCATGGGATTCTCCAAGCAAGAATACTGAAGTGGGTTATCATTTCCTTCTCAGGCTTAGCCCTCTTCAAAATATATATTTACCCCTTTAGTGATCACACCTAGTCTTTTGGTTTTACTACCATCTATATACTGCCCTTCCTAGTTTATATATGTATATTCCCAGGACTCCAGTTCTTTCTATCCAACCACCTATGTCATGTCTCTACATGGATATTTAGTTGGCATCTCAAATTTAACATGTCCAACTCAACCCCTGAAAGTCTCTGACTTTATCCCTAAAATTGTCCCCCCACCCCCAACAGTCTGTTCTTTTTTAGTTAAGGCCAAGTCTAAAAACCATGGAATCATCCTTGATCCCTCTTATGTCTTGTACTCATATTTGAGCTGTGAGCTAATTCCTCTGGTCTCCATTCAAAATCTACCCAGGACCAAATTACTTTTAACCATCTCCTCCTCTTTTCAAGGAGCCAGTGTATTGTTTCAATGACCCCTGACTGGTGTCTCTGCCTCTGTTCTTGGCCCTGCCTCCAGTCCTTTAGTCTCTTCTCCACCCAGCAGCCAGCATCATCCTGTTAAATATCAGTCACATTATATCCCTCCTTTGCTCAGGCCCCTTTCCCTCAATAGCTTCCCAGGTTACACATATTAAAAGCCAAAGTCCTAACAGTGTCCTCCAGGGTCCTTCACTGTATGCCTGCCTCTGGCCACATTTGCTCTGTGTCTCCCTCTGCTCACTGCACTCAGGTCATAGTGACCATCCATTGTCTTCAAAGGATTCACAGAAGCACCTAGACTTCGCTGTTCTCCCTGCCTAGCCTCCTCTTTCTCCAGATGACTATAGTTTGATCACTAGTCTTCTTCAAGTCTTCCTTAAATATTACCTTTTCAGTGAGACCTCCCTTGACTACCCATTTAAAGTCAGAATCCCATCCTGGATCCTTTCATCATCTGGCCTTCTTTCTAGCCTTATTTTTCTCTATAACAACTACTACCATCGTGGGTGCTTGGTCACTCAGTAGTGTCTGACTCTTTGCTCCCCCATGGACTGTAGCCTGCCAGGCTCCTCTGTTGATGGGATTCTCCAGGCAAGAATACTTACAGCAAACAATTTTACTTATTTGTTGTTACCCATCTCTTCCTACTAGAATGTAAACTGCTTGAGAGTAGGGATTTTTATCTCTTTTGTTCACTGTTGTGACCCCAGTGCCTAGAATAGGCTCAGAGTGGGTGGTTGATAAATATTTGATGAATTAAAGAGTAAATGAATAATAGAATTAAATGATGAGAAGTAAATGATGAGAGAATTACTATTTTACTATCGCCAGTCTAGAAATTTTTCCACTATACTATACAAATCCATCATTCTATGATGAAACAAAAAATCCTTCCACACTATGCTTTTTGTTAAACATTTCAGTTACTAGATCCTCTCTTCAATGGAACTGTACTGTTTTAACCTTCAGTGTAACTTTCTCTTCCGTTCACCAAATCCTAATTTATATTAGAGTGTTAATTGCATATGAACAGAATATGTAAAAATAATGATGAAGAACTATATTCAAGGTGCCCCTTTATGGTTATACAAAGAATCAGAACTGAGTCAGAATATATATCAGCTGCCAATAATGCAGAATTGCTCAGTCTGCCAGGTAATAATGTATCTACTGATCCAAGCCATATTTTTATGCATTATGTTTTCCGTTAACTGCAGCATGGTCCAGACATGTGTCATAAGCATTTAAAGGACAAACCTTGATCAATTAGGATATCCAACCTCAATGTGACCTTCATTTTTGGCTAATTATATGTTGATTGCTACTAATCAGCATTGTATTTATAGTGAACAAACAGTTCTGATAGAGAGTAAAGAGCAGTTGCTATATTGTTTTTTAACAGCTCCTTTATGTTTGGAATGAAATTTGATGTGAGTCTCTTTAACAAAACATTTTTTAACATTTAAATTACTTTCTTTTATATGTTGCATGTTTGCTCAGTTGCTCAGCTGTGCCTGACTCTTTGAGAACCCCTTGGACTGTAGTCTGCGGGTTCCTTTGTCCATGGGATTTTTTCAAGCAAGCATACTGGAGTGGGTTGCCACTTCCTCCTCCAGGGGATCTTCCCGACTCAAGGATTGAACTGACATCTCCTGCATCTCCTGCATTGGCAGGCAGATTCTTTACCACTGAGCCACCTCGGAAGTCCACATGTTGCATACACACTTTTATGTGTGTAGTATGCATTGTATGTGTGTGTTTATAAATGCAGAAATCATCATGGCCTCAGCTCAGTAGTTCCTACCATCATTTAAAGCCAGTGAAGGCATTAATACATTCAGTTTTTACTTTATAAATCCATGTAAGTGTATCAAACAATGGGCTAGTTCAGTTATCTTCCAGAGTCTTATAAGTAAATTGCCAAAGTGTAAATGTCTGTGAGCTAGCTCCAAACATGTTAATGGTTTTTTTCAGCTTAACTCCAATCAGAGTAAACTTTGGACATTTGTATTGACAATGACCTCAGTCTTCTTCCCCCAAATGTGAGCATGTTTGATGCTGTGAATGTCCGTCAACAGTTCTTCAGTTTTCATAGAAAGATGCCTGTGAGACTTTCATTATTTCCTCTAGATGTGCATGAATGTGTGTATGTACTTGTGTGTGTGTGTGTGTGTGTGTGTGTGTGTGCACAAGTGTGTAGGAGAGACTAAGAAACAGAAAATACATCTGGAGGTGTGAACATGGAGTTGGGTTGTTTACCTTTTAGAAACTTCTAAAAGAAGTTAGAATGCTGCTGCTACAAAACAATTAACTCTGAGATTTGAGGTACCCATTTAGTTATCCACCTCCTACCTTAGCTGTGGGGTTGATACCAAATGTCCTCATGTAGCAGAAACATGACCAAAAGATAGGAAAGAGATATCAGCTTAGCAGCTGTGTTTTTACCTAATTACCAGTGGGGGCTGAGCTACAATCTGGCCAGTGAGAATAGTTACCACAGTACAGTAGGGAGATGGAGCAAGTCAGAGCTGAGAGGGCTTCCATAAGTAGGAACTGAAGGCAGAGGAGAGAATGTCCAAGAATTGACTGTCATGATCACATGACATCATGTGATCGTTGGTTTTTTATTACTTACAAAAGCAAAATAAACAGAGTACCTCCTCCCTGACTGTGTTTTCTCTCTGTGGAGTTACTAATTGGACTGCAGTCACTCCAGAGTAGCTCTGTGGACTAGCACAGTGATCTGACTTGGCATTAGTAGGCCCCTAAAGTTCATTAAAGATAATTGCATCAGTGACCTCTCTGCCCGCATTTGACTGGTGTTGCTCAAAGACAATAATAATGATTGATTACCACAAATATCCATATTTTTTGTTAGTTTCTTATGGTATAAACCCCTCAATTATATTCTGAGAATTCACTGGTTTTGATAGTTCTTAGTGGCATAAGTTATCAATGTTTGGAGCATTTTTAATTACCATTCTATTCATACATAGAAAAGAAAGCAAGATTCTAACCCTGAAAATTTATAAACTACACAGGCAAAATTAATCTTGGATTAAACTCTTATCTACTAATTCAAAAAATCATTAAAAATTTCATTAAAAGTTTATCTCTGTCCTGTGGATGATGTCACATCTACAAGTGATAAAATTGCACACACACACACATGAACACCCATAAAACTGGTAAAAACTGAATAAGGTTAGTGGATTGTAACAATACCAGTTTCCTGGTTGTGATATTGTGCTATGGTTATGTGAATTATTACCACTGGCCAAAACTGGGTGAAAGGTACATGGAATTTATTATTTTTACAGATGTGTGAAGATCTACAACTATATAAAATCAGAAGTTAAAAATAATTTTGTCATTGTATAGTATCTTATTGTTTTAATAGCACATTAACATCCAAGGGCAAGGAGTAGAGGTTGATAGCTGGTACATGAAATTTAATTTTTTACAATATGTTTAGAAAATTGATTTAAGTTTCTTAAATGGAAAATGGTGCTTTGCTTTTTTATTATGATGGTTAATTTAGAAGTCTAACCTTGTAGATAATTCCTTGGTTTGTTCAATTCAATTCAATTCCTGCCACTGTGTTTCTTTATTTCACAGATCTGTGTCTCCAAGTGCCCAGAAAGATTCTTAACTTACATGGAAATACAATTTAAGTACAAAAACGACAGTAAATACTGGACATACTACAGCCAGTTCTGCCGGACTACTTTTCTTAAGCCTGTGGAGGTATGTGTGTTTAAGCTTAAAAAGAGAGAAGAATTTATATTGTTTCAATCTCAAGTGTAATGTATTTGTAACTGGACAAGCTCCAAAATTTTCCAGGAAATTATTACTAGCATTACCATTTCATTAAAGCACAAATGCACATGTATATACAAACATAACACAATTTAGAGCATATCATTTTGTAGACTTGGGGTGTTATACAGGACTATTAGGTCTGGTAAGTTAGTATCAACTATTTCCTGACACCAACAGATTCTCCACTTGGATGGATTTTTTTGCTGTCAAGAACTAGGAGCTAAATGTAATTTGTGGTCACCATTTCATTAATGTGGTGATAAAGCTCCATGGCTATGGAGTAACAAGAACTTTACTTCCAAACCTGGTTTGATAATTATTCATTTGAAAAAAAATCCCCAAATACTACCTAGACTTAAGATCTATAAGGGAATTCTAAAGCCTTATGATGTTAATTAGTTGTGATGGCTTCTAAATTAGAGGAGATATCATTTTTCCAGGAAAAAATAAAAGCTTTAGACTGAGGATATAACTAAGACAAAGATACACACCTTCAAAGATATACCTTGGTTTCAGCATGTCTGACTTATTATTGTTGATTCAACTGAATTACAGTTAGGATATTTAAGAGTGTTTGTCAAACAAGTATGTGTGTATGATAATCTTACAATTACTCTTACTAGGGGAGTAATTTGGAATAAGGAAATTATTAGGGAAATGCATTTTTAAAGGACATAATTTATATATTGAGTAAGATGCATCATCACATAGTCTTTGAAATGTTAACACACTCTTCCTTCAATTTTAGACTCTCTCACAAGTTTTACTGGATAATGATTGTCCATCAGCGATTTATCCAAGCAAACCTTGTAAGTGGTTATTATTTTACCTCAGAAACACAGGATCTACCTAGAAGTTAGTTAATTCAGTTCGCTTATTTTACAATTGACAAAACTGAGGCTGAGAATGGTTCTATGACTGGCCCAGAGTCCCAGAGTTAATTGAGAAGAAAGCCAAAGCTACAAAGCCCATTCTTCTAACTCCAGCCTAGGGTGTTCCCCAGGAGCTTGGTGAGGTTTTAGGTTTGGTGGCATAAACGCACACAGAAAAGTTTGAAAATTGAATATTAAAAGTTCAGTCAGTTTGATTCTTTGCTACTCTAAGAACACACATGAGCCACACACAGACATTCCCTAACACACCTACCCCTGAATTCGGCCAAAAACTTTGTTGGAAAATTGCTTGGGGATTGAGAATGGGGTATATATTTGTCTTTATAATTTAAAACATGAAATACTTATATGTCTCCTGAATGAACTGACATTGTATGTCTTTAAAATTTATAAACTTAAACACTGTTTAGGAGAAAATGAGATAATCACTCATTTTCCTTTTTTAAGGATATAATTCTAACTACAGATAAAAAACTTTACATAAAGATGTCCATCACAATGTTATTCAAAACAACCAAAAGAAGAAAAAAAGAAAAGGAAATATTCTAACATCCAAGAGCAAGAATATACTGAAATAAATTATGATGCATTTATTAAATGAAATATTTTAGAATTTTTACATATGATAAATATTGTTTGCTACAATTTTAAATAAAATAAAAAATACTATATACATTGTAATGACAAGCCTGTAAAAATGAAAATTAATAAACAACAATATATTCAAAGAAAAAGATTGAAGAGAAATATGCCAAAATATTAAGTAATTAGCTGGAATCAAGATTGATGGGAGAAATATCAATAACCTTAGATATGCAGATGACACCACACTTATGGCAGAAAGTGAAGAAGAACTAAAGAGCCTCTTGAAGAAAGTGAAAGAGGAGAGTAAAAAAGTTGGCTTAAAACTCAGCATTCAGAAAACTAAGATCATGGCAGCTGGTCCCATCACTTCATGGCAAATAGACGGGGAAACAGTGACAGACTTTACTGTTTGGGGCTCCAAAATCACTGCAGATGGTGACTGCAACCATGGAATTAAAAGACACTTGCTCCTTGGAAGAAAAGTTATGACCAACCTAGACAGCATATTAAAAAGCAGAGACATTACTTTACCAACAAAGGGCCATCTACTCAAAGCTATGGTTTTTCCAGTGGTCATGTATGGATGTGAGAGTTGGACTATAAGAAAACTGAACGCCGAAGAATTGATGCTTTTGAACTGTGGTGTTGGAGAAGACTCTTGAGAATCCCTTGGACTGCAAGGAGATCCAACCAGTCAATCCTAAAGGAGATCAGTCCTGGGTGTTCATTGGAAGGACTTATACTGAAGCTGAAACTCCAATACTTTGGCTACCTGATGTGAAGAACTGACTCGTTTCAAAAGACCCTGATGCTGGGAAAGATTGAAGGCAGGAGGAGAATGGGATGACAAAGATTGAGATGGTTGGATGGCATTACTTACTCAATGGACTTGAGTTTGAGTAAGCTCTGGGAGTTGGTGATGGACAGGGAGGCCTGGTGTGCTACAGTCCATGGGGTAACAAAGAGTCGGACACCAGTGAGCAATTGAACTGAGCTTATTTTGGAGGTAGCAAAACTATGGCCATTTTCTGTCTTCTCTTTTCTTTCTCCTTTTTCCTTCTTTCCACAAGGAGTACATATTTCTTTTAAAATGGAAGAAAGATCATAATCATCAGTTTCAGTAGAAAGTCAGGTACCATTGAGTTAGCAACCATCAAACACAATGTCTTACATGCTCCCATCATTCTTCTCTGGATCATTAAAGACCCTCCATCAAAGTTGTGGGTCTGGCAAGCAACTGCATTTAACCAGGATTCCCTGAACAACAGTGTCTGTAGTTAAGAACAGTGTTACAGATTTTTATGCAAAAGGGTAAAAATGAATCATTAGCCACGGAAGATACATTAGGTATATAAGATATAGTCCCCGACTTTACAATTATAGTTTATTTAGATCACACAATATAAAATGTACTTTGGGGATGTTGTTTAGTTGCTAAGTCATGTCTGACTCTTTTGCCACTCCATGGACTGTAGCCCATCAGGTTCCTTTGTCCATGGAATTCTCCAGGCCAGAATACTGGAGTAGGTAGCCTTTCCCTTCTCCAGGGGATCTTCCCAACCCAGGGATCAAACCCAGGTCTCCCGCATTGCAGGTGGATTCTTTACCAACTCTGCCATCAGGCAGTCCAAGAATACTGGAATGGGTTGGCATTTCCTTCTCCAGGGGATCTTCCTGACCCTGGGATCAAACCTACATCTCCTGCATTGCCAGGCAGATTCTCTACCAATGAGCCACCAGGGAAGCCCACGTTGGGGACACAAAAATGAATAAGGCACAGTCCTTCAAAGTCTAGTGAAGGAAACATTGAAATCAATTTGTATCCCCCCAACAGGGAATTAAATATAGTACTTGAAACAATGTTATACAGCTAAAAAAATTCACTCATTAAAGATTTTATAAATGAAAATAAGTAAAAATAAAAGAAAGAAACAAGAGACAATATCTCATTTCTGTATAGTTAATAACTCTCAACAAAAAAATGTATACAGAGGAAAGACTGAAAGGAAATGCACCAAAATGTTAATATAGTTCACTGTAGCTTGTAAAACTCTGTACAGTTTTGTATCTTGTTTCAAGAATTTTTCTCTAGTTTCCAAAAATATAATGAGCATATTTAGTAATTAAAGGTAACAGCCTAGATGAGTTACTGTCCAGAAATACTACATAAAACAAGTTTGGGAGGTTCTGTATGTGGGATCAGTCATATTGAAGAAGCAAAAAGAAGAGGTGTAAACAAAAAGGCAGAAGAGGGGGTAGAAGAGAACCTGGGCCTGTGAACCAAGGGGAGAGAGTTATAAAGGGCAGGGCTTGTCTCCTGTGTCAAAGACTCATTCAACAGAAAAAGTACTCATTCAACAGCAAAGATTTACTGAGTTCTGTTCTGTCCCAAGCACTGTGCTAGGTAATGGGCTCCAGCAGGATGAAGAGTAAAAAGTAGTTAGAAGTTTTGGCAGTTAGGGGGTCATTGGGATTACTGGGAGGACAGTTTCCATGGCGAGGTGGAGGCAGAAATACGGTTGAATTGAGAGGGAATAGAATCATCTGGTAGAGACTATGTCAAATTTGCCAGGAGGAGCAGGACAAAGAGAGGATACTGAAGCATTCATCCCTATTACAGATGCTACAGAAGATGAAGGTGAGTAGACAAACTGATTTTAAAGCCAGATAAGTCAGGAAAAGCTTTATGAAGACAGTTCTTTCTCTATATTCACTGCTTTCATATTTTCAGGTTTAAACTCCATATCAACCCCTGCAAGTTTGTAATACTTCTTGTAAAAAAAAACATAAAGATAAACCATTCCTGATTCCTCCTCTTTCTTCCTGTAAAATTGAGGTTTTAAAACATTTTTAGTAATAGAGATTTGTAGAGAAGCAAAGATTCTGTTGAATTAGGTTGGGTACATGAGACAAGTGCTCGGGCCTGGTGCACTGGGAAGACCCAGAGGGATCGGGTGCAGAGGGAGGTGGGAGGGGGGACTGGGATGGGGAATACATGTAAATCCATGGCTAATTCATATCAATGTATAACAAAAACTACTGTAATGATGTAAAGTAATTAGCCTCCAACTAATAAAAATTAAAAAAAAAAACAAAAAACAAGTACATAAAAGATTGAATGATAAACTCTCAGAAATCATGCTAGTTGACAAAGTATGGGCCATTTTTGATGGCTTTATATTTCCATTTCCAGCCACTCTAAAAAAAAATGATAAATGAAAAAGCTGGAAGAGAGACAAATTATTAATATTTTATAAATAAAAATTTGGTTATCTTAGTAGCCTAAAGTTTGAGCCGATGCTTATTTCTTAAAGAATTATTCACTAAACTCTGGTTTTCAAGGTTTCACTCAAGGAATATCTAAGAATTTTTTAAAATATAACAAAACTAAATTCATCTAATACAAGTAAATATAGCCTTATTGTTAAGATGTGTTTAGTATGAGAGCGAGGTTGTCAGTATTATTCTTATAAAACCTGTGCTACGTGTCCTGCTTATGGTTACTTAATGAATATACCATGTATGAAATAATCAAGTTTAAATGTAGCTTCAGATTATGATTGTATTTATTTCCCATGTCTGTCTTAGAATCATCAAAAAAATCTGATTATCAAGTAATGGGCAGTTATCTATACTGAGCAAGTTATATAGTGTCTAGCAAGCAAGCATTTGATTATAAACAACAGAAAGCTGAAGAAAGAGAGAACATTGTAAAGAAAGAAAAGTGATTATCATAATTTTAATTTATTTTTTACAGTTCTCCAGAGATGTTTCCCAGACTTTTCTACTAAAAATGGCACTTTAACAGTAGGAAATAAGACAGTATTTGATGATGGAAGTGGAAAGACAAGAAATGCTGCAGAACTCAGAAGAGCTGCAAAGTATGTTGATCACATTCCCATTTTCAATTTTGATGCACCCCTTTATTATCCCTGAACTAAAGCTTTGTTAGGTTAAGCATTATAGAGGAAGAATTATGTGTTATTCTGAAATATTCATGTCACTGTGAATTGGAGAAATTGGTATGTGTTCGTTAAGAAAACCAAAGGAAAAAGCAGAGTGAATTTGAAAGAACAATTATGTTTTTCAAACTGGTTAAGTCTTTCATCATCAACAGGTACATAAATGAGACATCAGGAAACATATTGAAACACCTTAATATAATTTACTTTTGGATGAGCATAATTTTAAAAACCCATGATTTTTTAAAGCATCATTTTTTAAAAAAATGACTGAAATAATAAAACTGCCAGCTATTTTAAACGAAAGGGAGTCTTAAGAAAGGTGAAACAACCACGATGCTGCTGTGCTGTACTGTGTTGAATTTCTATTATTATTTACAGTGAAGTAAATTTTCTGTTTCTCTTAGCTGTATGCATCGTGGTGTTCCACGTTATTTGGAAATATAATTTTCTCATGCACATAGATGTGTGTATACAAATATAAACACAGTATCATTGCACAGCTCAGTTGTTGAATTTAAAATAAAAAATATATTGCAAAAATGTATTGTTCTAATAGTACAATTCCATTGATAAAATTTTGAAGTAAGCACATGTGTACTAAGTTGCTTCAGTCGTGTCCGATTCTTTGTGACCCTATAGACTGTAGCCTGCTAGGTTCGTCTGTCCATGGGATTCTCCAGGCACGAATACTGGAGTGGGTTGCCATGCCCACCTTCAGGGAATCTTCCTAATACAGGGATCGAACTCACATCTCTTGTCAAGTCTCCTTCACTGGCAGGCAGGTTCTTCACCACTAGTGCCACCTGGGAAGCCCAAGTAAATTAAAATTACACTATGATGCATATATATATGGTACAACTAAGAAAACTGGGAAATTATAATCACAAAAGTCAAAATTATGGTTATTTTAGGGGAAGGGAAAGGTATTGTAATTGGAGGACATGGTGGGGAGGAATGACTATGTTGTACTTACCAAGTGTGTTCACTTTGATAACCCATCCAGCTGGATGCTAATTATTGTGTACTTTTCCGCATGTGCCTCTTTGTGCCTTCTGCTACAGAGTGTCAGAAGATTAAGAAGGGGAAATTAAGTATCATATTCACTCTTAGCTCTATGGACTTTATAAGTTAGAAGCTGATCTTATTTAAATTCATGTCTTATAGTGAGGTCTCTGCAACACTGAGGGCATGTTGCATATGTTGGAAAAAAGGTATGTTTACCACTCTTGAAAGCAATGCTTCCTCCGTGTGTAGCTGTAGCTACCTTTGTAGGTTCACCAAAGTGACACCTCATGTATTCTTGTGGCTAGCAAAAGGGTCACTAGCGATAAATGGTTTCTAAAAATATTCTTAGAACATCAGCTTCCAAGTTCCTTTTATTGTAACAAGAACATTTCTTTTTAGTGGTAGTCAAAAAATAATTGATTTTTTTTCTTCTTTGAATTTAGTGGTATCAATAAAGCCCTTGATGCAAGGGCAATTGGAGTGAAGGTGTTTGAAGACTATGCAACAACATGGTATTGGATTCTCATGTAAGTGAAAACATAAGTGTTTCGTCTCCAGCCCCATTCTGAGTTTATCTTTGTAGAATTTCTTTCATCAAATTCCCCATTCATATTCATGAATGAGAGATTGACTCAGATTTCAGTTCCTGCCAGTTTCTTTTTCAGACAGAGTGAAGAGCCCAAAATATTTGGAAATCTGCCCAATATTAGCAAAAAGTTATAAGAATGTAAATTTTAATTTTACTCATTAAATTACTAGTAAGAGTATTCATATATTTCAAGTCCCATGGGGCCTCACTGTGATATGTGTGGGCCTTTCACTACATATAAAATTTGTCCTTCCCTTGATCTCCAAAGGATCATTCTTATTTTTTAATGCAGCCCTTCCATATAACATTTGTTATCATCATCATCAAACTAACTGTACTTATGAAAAGCTGAAAAACATATATGAAAGGAGGAAGAGGTCTTAAATTTTCAGACATAAGATTTGCATTCTTAAACATAAAGGAAAATGTAGTCAGTCCTCCAGAGCAGGTACATGTGTTTGATATCCCTCAGGCTGTCATTACTATCTGGCTTTTGTGTCATCTTCTTGTACCTTAAGTACCTTAAAGGCATCTATGATTCCCTAGTAATCAAAGAATAAAGTGGAAACTTCTTCATATACTTACAAGAACTCTTATAACCTATCCAACTTACTTTCCCAGATTTATCTCCATCCATGTTTCTTGATTAACCCTATATTCTAAACACAGCAAATAGCACACCCATTCCCAGACCATTACACCCTTGTGTTTTTGCACATTCTATTCTCTTTCCTAGAATATCTGCTGTTGTGCCTTGGGAAACTTCATGTCATTATTTAAAATCAGCTTTTGTGTCACTTATGGTATCTTCTTAACTTCCCTAGATATAGTAAATTACTTGCGCCTTTGTGTTCCTCATTCATTGTGTGTGTGTGTGTATGTGTGTACATACATATTTGTAAACACACATATCTATCTTCTGTATAGCACCTACCATCTTGTATTTTATTTACCCGTCTCTTTCCCTCTGATAAACTATGAACTCTTACTATGGTAACTATATCTAACTTGTCTTTGTTTTCCAGAGTCCTAGTACAGTTCTTGGACTGTAGAGATACATAGAAAATGTGGGTTTAAGAAACAGTTATCAAAGTACTAGGGGGACAAGATAGATATATTTAAGTAAGGTGCTTAATAAAGTCAAAATTGTATCGTGTGTAAAATACTAGGGAGTAGTTTCTAGAGCTGGAGAAGGCAATGGCACCCCACTCCAACACTCTTGCCTGGAAAATCCCACGGACGGAGGAGCCTGGTGGGCTGCAGTCCATGGGGTCATGAAGAGTTGGACACGACTGAGCGAATTCACTTTCACTTTTCACTTTCATGCATTGGAGAAGGACATGGCAACCCACTCCAGTGTTCTTGCCTGGAGAATCCCAGGGACGGGGGAGCCTGGTGGGCTGCCGTCTATGGGGTCGCACAGAGTCGGACACGACTGAGGCGACTTAGCAGCAGCAGCAGCAGTTTTTAGAACTATAAAACTAGACAGTTTTGTGAGGTTTTACATTGTTGCGCTTTGTCTTAAACAGAGTAATTATTTTCAGTGTGTTTCAGGATATATCTCCGTGGCAGGGATTGTAGTTTATACTTGATAGGAAACTGGTGCCCCTATTGTCAGGCCTGAATATCACTAGATAATTTCTGTCTCTTCTTTATTTTGGCTTTTCTACTCTCACCTGAGAAAGGTATAATTTATAACAGATTCTCCTGTCCTCCTCACACACTCTGAAATAGTCTCTACCCAGAGACTAAACACTAGAGCATAAACACCTCCCTTTATTTTCAGCTCTCTGTTCTCATCCGTTTCATGCATATAAAGCCAAACTCTGACATGCTGGGACTTAGTGTACTCAGAATTTTTTTAAGTAGGAATTAAAAACACAAGTAGTCAAGAACTATAGTTCTTATTTTTCCCCTCTGATCTTGTTTTTAAAATGTTTATTTTATTTATTTTTATTTTTGACTGTGCTGGGTCTTGGTTACTGCACAGGCTTTTCTCTAGTTGCAGCAAGTGGGAGCTTCTCATTGCGGTGGCTTCTCTTGTTGCCGAGCACAGGCTCTAGGGTGAGGGCTTCAGTAGTTGCAGTTCTGGGGCGCTAAAACACAGGCTCAATAGTTAATGGCACATGGACTTAGCAGCTCCGCGGCATGTGGGATCTTCCCAGACCAGGGATTGAACCTGTGTCTCCTGTATTGACAGGAGGATTCTTTACCACTGAGCCACCAGGGAAGCCTCCCACCCCCTGCCCCAATATTTTTTTTAATAACCCTCTTGTCTGATGCTATAGAATAATTTTTCAATCAGACTGCATAGTTCAGCATTAAAGTATCTGTGGTTTGCTTCTAAATTAAAAGCCCAGGCTCTGTAAGACTGTGCACTGAGAAGGTACTCTGGTACATGCTGTCATCTATCCAGTGACAGTACTATTAATAGTTTCTTCTTAAAGATAACATCTGAAGACAATAAGCTCGGTAACTGTGCCAGGCTGTCTGTTGCTATTTGGAAACTTGCAGATATCACCAGCGGTGTCAGGTCTTAATAGAGGCATCAGCCAAATTTCCAATTTTAGTGAGTTCTCTTTGATGAAATCACTTAGAAAAATCCAATATGACTCTAACCTGGATATATAGTGGGGCTGGGAAGAAGTACCCCCAGGACTCAATCAAACCCCAGGAAGAAATTAAACCAAGGAAAACAGTCATGCTCTTGATTGCTTGATAAAGTCACATGGCCCAGGAGGCACAGAGGTCTTATCCCGGCTCCAGATAATGGCCCACAGATCACTGGGGATCTGAAATAAGTGTCTGGTGATGTTAGACATCACAAACGATTAGAGATAATTAGACCAGAATGATAATGGCTACAAAATCATGGATTCAGGAACTGTGTAGGACAATTATTTTGCTCGTCTTTCTGCCCTAAGATTGTTCTCTTACTGCTAGTTATATCACATACGGTTTTCATTAGTGACCAGGTATATAGAGCAGCAATAACATCTCATGGATATGCTTTGTAGCTTATCACTTGGTGCGTAAGTATGAAGGAAAAAAATAAGACTGCAGCAGATAGGAATTGTGATTTTTCCTGAAACAACTGTGGACACAGAATTTGCAGTTACCAGCTGCTGCACCAAAAATGATTCATGTATCAAGTTCTGATGATCCTATTGTTTCCCTTGAAAGTCTTAACAGAAAGAATTGCTTATACTTTTTAATGTCATAAATGTTTCTACAGTCAGATAAAATAATCAAGAATTATTTGGAATAGAAATAAGTGTTGTCTTGCTATGTTTGTTATGTTTAGCACACTGGCCCCCTATGTTTGTTGTGCTTTTTATCCTCCAGTGGCCTGACTATTGCCATGCTCCTCAGCTGGATGTTTGTGATGCTCCTGAGGTTCACAGCTGGATTGCTTTTCTGGATCTTCACCTTTGGTGTGATTGGAATCATAGCTTATGGTAGGTGTCCACCCATCTTAAAATCACCAAATGTCAAAATAATCTTTTTCTTTTCAGTTGCCATTGTCAATTACCAGAAAGCATTTTACTTCCAGTAAATTTAATCCTTCTTTACTGTCTTCCTAAAGGTGTTAAATTGAGAAAAATTACTTAATTCTGCATACAGTGTCTCTGTTACTTTTTTCTTCTTTATCCTGGGTGGGGGAAGTGCTATCAAAATATTCTTCTCTTTCTCTACAGTCTTTGGTCTCATATCTCATGAGTATTAAGAAGGAGGTGAAAAGAATCCCATTTAGGTTAATGAAAACTATTTCAGACAATTTCTTTTAGTCTTTTAACTTTTTATCTGATCAAAGGCCCAGCTCTGCATAGTTATAGATGTGTGATCGATCTATTTTTCTCTTTCAACTTAGGACTTTTAATCCAGGTACTGTCACACACTTTAATAATTGGCCAGTACTCCATAATGGGCCATCACCCTCTAGAGGCAAGTATTCTGAATTACACTTATTGGATGGAGAGTTACTTTACTTTTGGTTGAGCTCTAATTATTAACTCAGTTCTGCCAAATGCAGTACAGGTGAAATTCAAACATTAAAAAAAAGGGGGGGGGGGCTTCCCTGTTGGCTCAGATGGTAAAGAGTCTGCCTACAATGCAGGAGACCTGGGTTTGATCCCTGAGTTGGGAAGATCCTCTGGAGAAGGAAATGGTTACACTTTCCAGTATTCATGCCTGGAGAATTCTATGGACAGAGGAGCCTGGCGGGCTACAGTCTAAGGGGTCGCAAAGAATCAGTGAACAGTATAGCCCTTATTCTCACTCTTCTGATAAACGTATGAGCCAGTATATGAATGTTTGAGAGGTTTCTATTCAAAAGAATGATTTTCCTATAGCACCATTTACATCAACAATGAGACTTTTATAGTCAGAGATACCAAAATAACACTGTCTTATTTCTGTCACCCAAAGAAGAAGAACTTTACACATATCAGTTTAAGAATGTAGAATACCAAAAATCTATAGTTAGCTTGAGTTCCAATCCTGTCTCCATAATGTAATTGGAGGACTTGGAAAAGTTTCTGAATGATTATAAGACTCAGTTTCCTTATCCATATCATCAACACAATAATGTTATCTCCATTATACCATTACTGTGAGAATTAAATGAGACAATGAATATAAAGCTCTTAGAACAATCCCTGGAACACAGTAAATACTCAGTATGTCTTGAGTTATTGTTATTATCCTGCTCGGTATCCTCACTGAGTTTCTCAACAGTCGTTTAGGTGACTCCATGTATCATTCCTTATCTGTTCATGTTGTGCAGCTGCCCATGAATCTCATGAAGGAATATAAGAATTGCTGTCTCCTAATCTGAAACTCCCAAGAAAACTTTTTGTCAAAAAGCCTTTGTTTTCTTCCTCGGAGCTCAAAGTGTCCCCTGCCCTTTTCTGTCTTAGAGTTTGGGCATGTGAACAGTTCTCACTGATTATAACAAATTAAGAGCTACATAGGGGATAGCCATATAATACCATGGTTATAAATATCTATTTAGAATTTGGAAAAAGCACAGTTCTCTGCAAGTACATAGTTCTCTATTTCATAGTTTCCTCAACTGTATAACAGGAATCTGAGTGTTAAATAAATAATGTATATAGAGTACTTAGAGAGCCGCCATAATAATTGTTCAATAAATGGTATTTATTATTTTCTTATTATGCAGGAATATTATTAAGGAAAGAGGACTTGAAGGCCAGGGAACATACTTTTAATGACAAACACACACTAGGACAGGAATGAGATAGGAATAGAAAAATAAATTGGAAAATAACTGCTGAGACTTTCACATCCACCAGTGTGAAGGAACTAAATAATCTGAAGGGTCCTTTTGCTATGAAATGATGGCATATTATATTGTATTGTTTTATTTATTTTTTTCATGAGCTTACTAGAAATGAAGTATCCCAGAAAGGAAAACCATTTTCAACCCACAAGCTAAAAAGTGGGGACCTGAACAGGAGGCACATGTGAGATTACGGGTAGATCACCCAGTGCTACAACCAGGAGACTCAGAGCCAGCAGAGGGGTAGAGGGTCAGGCCGGAAACTCCTGGAGTAGCTCCTGGATCCTAGAAAACGCATGAAGTGACCCTAGTGTCGTAGTACCCTTTGCTTGCCAATAGAAATAAAAATGAATCCCCTCTAGATGGAAGCACCTTCTCAAATCACCAGGTTTCAACAGGTTAAAGTGAACAATGTATGAGTTACAATCAAAGATTTCCAAACACGTAAGGAAATGGTCTTTTGCAAGAAACAAAAGAAACGGTAAACCTCAGATTGAAGTCGCTAAGAAATTCAGATATGGACTGATACAGAACATGAATCAATGTTTAAGAATTAAAAATACAATTAAAAAATAAGAAATCATCAAAAATATTCAGGCATACATGAAGATGAATCAAATAGAACTTTTCAAAACAAAGCAATGAAGTGTTATATTCAAAATTAAATATGTTAAATAGTAAAATAGATAATTAATGAACTGAAAGATGAAATTCTGAATTAATTACTCAGAATAAAGCAGAACGTGAACAGAGGACAAAATATGATTCTGTATTTAAGAGAGATACAGAACAGATTGAGAAGGGCCTAACATGTATCAGCATATTTGAAAGGTATTGACTGAGAATTTTCTAGAAATGATGAAAGATATAAACTCACAGACACAGGAAGCTCTACCAAGAAGAATAAGAGAAGTGACATCTATATCTAGTCATACATTTTTTCATTTATTCATTCAACAAATATCAGTTGTGCAGCTGCTGTGTATAGGCACTATTCTAGGCTCTTGAGAAAGAACAGTAAACAAAAAGACAGAAGTTCTTACTCTCTTGATGCTCATAAACTAAGCCTATTAGAAGGTGATACTTGGCACAGAAAAAAGAAACAATAGACACAGATGAAGGGGGATTGAGAGTATCATGGTAGGGCAAGGAGTGCAAATTGCAGTATCAGTAGGGTAGGTATTTTTGAGAGGAGATCCAAGAAAACACTTGAAGGACAAAATGGGATTAGCCCCTGGAGATAACAGGAGAAGTTCCAGACAGTAAGTACAGTTAGAGCAAAGTCTTAAAGATGGGAGCATGTTGAAGAAACAGTTAGAATGCTTGCGTGGATGAGTGTACCAAATAAAGGGGAGAATGGGAGATGAGGAATTTCTGGAGGGCCAGAGACTTAGATTATTTTTACTCTGAGTGAAGTAGGGAGACAAGGTAGGGTTTTGAGCAGAGGAGAGCTGTGAAATGATCATGACTTTAGTCCCCTCGTGGCTCAGACAGAATCTGCCTGCAAGGAGACCTGGGCTCAGTCCTTGGGTCAGGAAGATCCCCTGGAGAAGGAAATGGCAACCCACTCCAGTATTCTTGCCTGGAGAACCCTTGGATGGAGGAGCCTGGCAGGCTGCAGTCCATAGGGTCACACAGAATTGGATACAACTGAGGTGACTTAGCATGCACACATGAGATAGGAAAGTTTTGAGTGGAGCAAGCTTGGTTTAGAAAGGGGATTGGTCAGAAGTGTAATTTTGAATGTGTGGAGTTCGAGATGTTTATTAGGCATTAAGATGGAGATGTCACATAGGCAGTTGAATATACAGTTGAATGTACAGAGTTAGAAAATTAGCCTAAATAAATATATTTAGGAATCAGGATTATTAGAGCCATGAGAATGGCTGAGATCACCAAGAAATTAGGTGTAGGTAGAGATGTGGACCAAAGACTGAGTTCAGAGGCCCTGCAACATTAAGAGGTCAGAGAGAAGATAATGGAACAGCAAAGACAACTGAGGAGAAATGGGTCTTCTTTGAAAACTAAAAGGATGTGATGTTATAGAAGCCAAGTTAAAAAAAAAAAAAACGGAGGGGGCAATAAACCATGTCAAATGGGGCAGATAGGTCAAGAAAGATAAGAACTGAGAATAGACTTTGGATACATAAATATGGCAAGATCATTGGTAATCTGATTAGGGTAGTTTTGGTAGCATAATGAGGAAGAAAAGCCTAATTAGAGTGGATTGAGGGAGGACTGGAGGGGAGGAATTATAGACAGACAATATACAGGGCTATTTGGAGAGTTTTATTGCAATGAGGGACAAGAAATCGGGCAGTGGATGGAGTAAGACTGTCAAAAATAGATTTTCTTTTGTTTTATTCTTTAAGGTGGGAGAAAGGAAAATATGTGTGTATATTGTTTGGAATGATACATTAGAGAGCAAGGAATTAATGATGTAAAAGAAAGAAATTGTGAAAGTTCAGAATACTAAAGACAAAATATAAAAACGATCAGAGAGAAAAGACAGATTGCATACAAAGGAACAGTTAAGCTGAAGACTTTTTGACAGCAAGAAAAGGAGCAAAATAATACCTTCAAAGAGCTAAGAAAAAAATAACAGTCAACCTATAGCTGACCCTCCCTGGGTGTGCAGTACTATGGGCTTATACTGGAATTTGGTCAGATAAAAATTTCAGGACATTTTTTCCTGAGTATACCACTATCAGGAGTTCCCTGGGTGGCTCAGACAGTAAAGCGTCTGCCTATAATGTGGGAGACCAGGGTTCAGTCCCTGGGTTGGGAAGATCTCCTGGAGAAGGAAATGGCACCCCACTCCAGGATTCTTGCCTGGAAAATCCCGTGGACAGAGGAGCCTGGTGGGCTACAGTCCATGGAGTCGCAAAGAGTCTGACACGACTGAGTGACTTGTGACTTCACTTCACTTTACATAGCTGTACACTCAGCAAAACTATCTTTCAAGAATGAGAGTAACACTGAAGATATTTTAAGATAAGTAAAAACTAGAGTTTACAAGTAGACATATATTAATACTAAAGGGAAAAATAATTCCGCAAAAATGTATGAGATGCAAGAATGAATGGCGAGCAAAGAAAATTAATTGGTAAATGTGTAGGTAGGGCTTCCTGGTGACCCAGACAGTAAAGAATTCCCCTGCAATGTGGGAGACCTGGGTTCAATCCCTGGGCTGGGAAGATCCCCTGGAGGAGGGCATGGCAACCCACTCCAGTATTCTTGCCTGGAGAATCCCATGGACAGAGGTGTCTGGCAGGCTATAGTCTTTAGGGGTCACAAAGAGTTGAACATGACTGAGGGACTAACAGCACAGCACAGAACTTAAGAAACTTTGTACAAAATAATGATAATATCCAATTTTTTGAGGTATAACTGTACATAAGTAAAATACAGAGAAATAATCGGACTGGGATGATTATTGACTAATGTAAGGTTCTTATATTTCCTGGGCTGACTTTAGACTTGGTTAGTAAGTACACAGTCAATTGTCAAGAGTAATTTATTCTAAAAATATAGTAGATATCTCTAAACCAGTAAAGGGGGAAAACAGAATATAAGTTAATCCATAGCTAATTCATGTCAATATATGACAAAAACCACTACAATATTGTAAAGTAATTAGCCTCCAACTAATAAAAATAAATGAAAAAAAATGAAAAAAAATTTTGAGAAAAAAAAGTGAATTGGAAAAAAAAAAAAGAAACAAAAACTGATCGGTTTTTAAAGGACAAGAATTGGAAGTGTTTATACAAAGTAGAACAGGAAATACAAAAACAAAGATGGTTGAAACAAAAGTAAATATAGTAATACATTAAATATATTAAGCTCACCAATTAGAATACAGAGATTATCAGGTTTAGTATATATTTATATATATTATATTATTATAATATATAATATAGTATATATTATATATATTATTATATAATAATAATATATATTATCAGATTAAAATATAAACATACAAACTGGAGCTGCGTTCTTTATAGAAGTTACAAAAACATAAGGAAATTGGAAGCTTGAAAGTGAAGGGATACAGAAAATACTGTATTCCTATGTATCTTCCCAGAGATACTTTATGTATGCATAAGAAAATACATATATTGTCCTTACTTCTTATATGAATTATAGAATATTTTATATAATTTTTATAATCTTATAAATTTTATAATTTTGTACTTTTTTTCATTTAACAAAGCATCTAGTGATCATTCACTATCACTAGAGACTTTCTCCTCTTTATATGGAGATACAGTATTCTACTGTGTAAATATACTATAATATTTTTAACCAGTCATTACTGATGGACATTAGGTTGTTTCTAATTAAAAGGACATTTAAAGTCGGGTGTTGCCGTGGTCATCCAACAAGATACTGAAAAAATTTATGTTGAATATAATAGCACATTTAGACTGTTGGATGCACATAAAATATTTAATGTGTAAATGGGAATCTTTCCTTTGTAAAAATGACCATGCTAATCAATTTCATGTAGATGTGTGCTTATATTTCAGAAAATAACATTTTATATTAGTCTACTTTTCTCTCTTTTTCAAGGAATATGGCGCTGTTACCTAGAATACAGCCGTCTTCAGGAACATCCACGTTCTCAGTTAAATGTATATACCATTGGGATTCAGACTGACATAAGCATGTACTTTCGCCTGAAACAAACATGGTTCGCACTTAGTGAGTGGATTTTAAAAACTTGCTTTGTTAAAATTGTAATAACAAGAAAGCATCTTTTTTGTCCAAAGAAAACTTGGGTTGGTATAACTTGTTAAATACATCTATTGCTAACATCATTAAAATAAGTGTCTATAATACTACTAGTCATAGTATGGAAGGTCATTGAGGGGAATTTATTATATAATCTAAGAAAATGTTACTGTACAATGATCTCAAGCTATTTGCCTTCAACTTAACATGAGTCAGATATAGACATTTATAGCCATTAATCTAATATCTAAGAGAGATATTTTAAAGGGAAAAAATGCTTGATATTTCAAACTTGCATTTAAAACCAGAAAAAGAAAAAGAAAATGAAGAAACAAGTTTTTCATGACAGGACTTTTAAACTACTTGTTATAGAATTGGAATTATAAGTAATTTTTACAAATTTACATTTTTTAGTGTTTATTTAGATTGAGTTAGTTAAAAATTTATATTTTTTTAGTGTTTATTTAGATTGAGTTAGTTAAAGGTAATATTAACAGAATTTTGAAAGGTAGATGATTTCAAAGATGGCTTTAATAGTTTTTATTATACTATTCCTTGTTCTTTACAGAGATTCATGTTCTTTAATCAATATTTTTAAAATGATCTCTAATTACATGGTGCTTTAAAAAAAATTTCATCTTCCTATATTGTTGAAGTTAGCGAGCCAGGCAAGGTAAGTTTGAGGAAGCCTGGTTGGGAGCCCAGACAGCCTAAGAGGAGGCAATATCTTGGACAGCATCATGATTCCAGAATGAATCCCTTAACATAAATCTGAAAACTTAATTTTGCCACTTCACCCAGAAGTCATTTGGGTGGCTTTCAGAGACAGGCTCACAGCATGTCACCATGTCTGGTGACATGACCTACCCCGGCTGCACAGAAGCCCCCACCAGATTCCTGTGTCAGCCATATTCAGTGTTTCTCTGTTCCTTGCATAGTGCTAGCTCAAAATGCCAAATTTTTGCTCTTTGGGTTCCCATTTCTAGCTCTCATGCAGCTAATTCCCTTCAATAATATAACACATTAGTTTTTTCAAGTATATTTCAGAAGAACTTCATTGATAGCCATTTCTTTCTTTCTTTTTTTTTTTTTTTTACTATAAAATTCAAGTATCTTGGGACTTATATCCTCATCCCTTTTCCTGAATTTGAGTGACTCTATATCCATCAGCAGTCCACATACTGTTACGTATTATTTCTGAAGATGGCAAATCTCATCCATTATGTGTTGAAAGCTCTAGTTTTACTCTCAGATGGATGTTAGTTACAGGTTCTATGGTCATCCTGCTGCTGTCTTTTAAGGATCTTCGATGCAAAATCATTGAGATGATAGAATCTGCCATTGGAAAAGTTAAGAGAGGTACTTTGAGGAAAATGCAGAGCTTGCTTTTATTTTCAAGTCTAGGAATACTTATCTTTCCTCAAATGAGTGTTAACTTTCATAATCCATTATGAAATAATATCAGACATTATTTGCTCTGTGCTTATAATTCTCAGCACCACTGACAAGGGTATACATGTGAAATTATACTTATTGACAGAAACACTAAAAATATGTGGAGTAATGCACATAAAAATTATCATTTTATGAGTCTTGGATTGTATTAGAAGATGGTTCTATTCTCATTTCTATTAATTACCCCAGCCTCCTTGATAAAGTTAGATTTATACCAGCTTCTCTGTAGGGTCTCAAAAAATATGTTTCTATTGTTTGCTCTTATTTAAACAAAAGGAGGGAATATATAAATTCAAAAGGGTGCTGAATTTCTTTAATAAAACCATTTACAATAATATAATTTTGTAAATGTACAAATTTAATATGCAATGTTCTTTTTCTATGCAATTTGAAACATAAAGTGACTGATACAGTTTATATCCTTAAGTTTATCCAAAGAAGATAATGATTTTAGCTTAATATGGCTACAGTCAACAGTTTTGGGCTCAGTGTAGCTTTAAAAGAATCAATTATGCATAAAAACATAAATACATAGTTGAAATAAAAGAAGATGTAGCAGGGAGATGTTATATTACTGAGAACCTCCCACATCTCTGGGTTAACTGGTTTCTCCTCACTTGGAGATACTAACTGAGGTATGATAAACATCTGAATCTTAGTGGTATAACAATAGAATAAAATAATGAGTGTCCTCTGATTGGAAGTGTTCAGACATGAGCAGAATAACTAGCAGGAACGTTGTAGAGTGGATCCTTTCATGGGTAGGAATTTAACTTTTTATTAAGTTTCTTTCATGATTTCAGAATCTGTTATTAGTCATACTATATTCCTTAATTTAGACTCCATATCTTCTCACTTTTTAACATCTCTGAAGTTAGGATGCATTTTATAATCAATAGACAGACATTTAATAAAGGATTTTTTACTTTTCTTCAAAGGTTATTACTAAATTAAAGGTATGTCATAGAATTGAGGAAATATAATAATTAGGGCTGTTTGGCTTCAAGTAAAAACAAAGTTGGAGGCAAGGCAGAGGCATTTATTCTAAGAACAGAGAAGTGTCTCACCAAACTCAAAATAGCAGAAAAGCAGCTATCCAGGTGGACCTGGATCTAGGAAACAAAAATCCAAAATGGAACCAAGATTCCCTCTATTTGCTCTCTTTCTTTACACTCGTACACTTTATTCTTTCTTTGCAGGTTCACTTACTTTACATCAATATGGTTTTGACACAGTTAATGTGTATAACTCTTAGTTCAAGAGGCATACAAATGTCAATTCAAAACTAAACTAGACCTAAAGGAGTGGATTGAGGGGTGAGAGGGAGACTCAGGAGGGAGGGGTTATATGTATACTTACAGTGATTCACAATGTGGTAGAGCAAAAAAAAAACTGAACTGGATTCCTTTAATTTGAATTCTCACTTTTATTACACAGCTCGGGTTGGCATTACACTGATTGTATCAAGGCAGTCATGATGGGTGGGGTCACAAACTAAAAATGTGGTATCCCAAAGCCCCACCCTGTCCCTCAGCAAGATCAATTAAGAGGCATTGTGAGCCTGGCAGCAGCTCAAAAACTTTGTTCTGTAATGATTCTCTTACTCAAAGAAGTTTACAAGTGAAAACATCTAAGAGTTGTCTAAAGCAGCCCTTCTTTTTCTCCTATGCCTATTTTCTCATTTCTACAAGTGGTGCAAAATGTTTCCATAGATAAAATGAAGCCTGTCCAACACAGTTGTTTAAATTCTAGCTAAAATTTTTAATCCAGAATTTTTTTTAAAGCATTTCTCAGAGGTTTTAAAAGTGAATTTCTAAAACTGGCATCTTTGGAGAGGTAGCACTGCTTAAACTGTGAAGTGTCAGAGCTGGCAGAAATCATCATGAAGATCAGTCTAATATTTGCAGAGAAAGTTTGCTCTTTGGGTTGATTTGCATCGCACACTAATATTTTTTTCCTGTTTGAAGTGGTAATACTCTGCCTCCTTGAACTGTTCATCATCCTCATGCTGATCTTCCTCAGGGACCGAATCCGTATCTCCATCGCCCTGCTGAAGGAGGGGAGCAAGTAAGGCCTTGATGGAGAGACTCGCATAATGTATATCCGTCATTCATATCAGTCACTGCTTATTTGTATATGCCCCAGACTCTTTTCCCTTTAAGATGACTTGTTAAATCTGCTTACCATTCAAGAAAACTTGTTCAAGTTCAGACTTTGCCACATATTAAAAAGTTCACACTAACAAGTCTTTCAAAATCCCCAAACATCAATTATCTTAGAGCAAAATAAAGCTAAAACCTGTGTAGTCTGTGCACTAACACTTTTTTAAAACACCAAATATATGTTAGGAGGATAGCTTATGTGGAAGTAAGTGATAAAGTGCTAATAAAAGTTAGTTATATTATATGTTGTATTACTCCCATACTGAGTCGTATGTTAATACTGATGGTTGATATCATTTGCAGAACTGTAGATCACTGTAATTCTATAAAGTCAATTATGTGCTCTTGCTAGTTTTGTATAAGTAACAAAATTTGCCAGTAGACAGAGTAATTGGTCTTAGCAGCACCAGACTATAGGGTTTTGTATCTATAGCTCTCAATTCAAGAATATTGTATACCCAGAGTCATTCTTATTTTAAAATGCTACAAAATAAACATAATTTTTCATAAAATTCATGCTGTGAGGTAATAACACCTACAGTTTCTAAACTATTCCGAAAAGTCACTTGAAGATAATACATTAAACTTTTGAATAATGCATGGAAACAACAAAGAAAGTATTACTAAAAGCCAACAGATCATGTTCTTTGTTAAGAACAATGGAAACTGGATTGTTAATGACCAAGGACCAAATTATTTTAAATAGTCTTTAAGGATTGTTTTAACAAAATCGTCATCTGTAATAATAATAGTGCCACCTAGAGCCAGTGTTTGAAATAGTTAACAAGCAGTTTGCTAAATTAAATCTGCCCTCACAATAACTGAAGCCCTATCATTAGCCACTGAAAGCTACTGATTTGCTGCGTTATTACTTAAATAATATGATATTGTACAATTCACTTTTCTAACTGCTATGCCTCTAAATGTGTGTGTGTGAATGTGTGTTTTAAAGGGCAGTTACTACTGTGACAGATTAAAGTTTTTTTTTTTTTTCAAAGGAAAATAGAGCTCGAACAAATTGGCGTGAGAATACAGGGTAATCATAGGGATGCCCAGTGTTTCACTCACATCAGTGTCTGGAGGAAAGAGAGGATAGCATAGTCTAAATAGTGAGTTGGAGAAGGTAACAAATAAAAAAAAAGAATCTAAAATGCGTCAGTGTGGGAACTCCCTAGTGGTCCAGTGGTTAGGGCTCTGCGCGTCCACTGTAGCGGGCAAGGGTTCCATCAGCCAGTCCAGGAACTAGGATTATGCATGCCCCATGACGTGACTGAAGAAAAAAATGTGTCAATACATTAGGAGTAGAAATAGTTCCATTGTAGTTCTCAGTGGCTATATCAAACAACATAGAGTTAATTTAGCATCATATGCTAAAAAATTATTCAAAAGTAGTTAGTAATAGAGTAATCAGTATGTGAATATTTTAGAAAGCATATTTTAGGAGGAAATATCAAAGTACTTATTTATCCTGGAAAATGAAAGAGTTACTTAAAGGGTTGCTGTATGGAAAAGGTGGTCATTTCTCCTCCAGAAGGTAGTGGATGTGAATTACATGCAGAAGAACTTCCTAATACTTTGGTTGTTCAGAAAATAGAATAAGCTGTGTCATATGAGACTAAGGAACATGTTCTGAAGACAGTTCAGAAGGGACTCTTGAATTAGAGATGGATTCTCACATTTGATCAGATGATTGTCAAGATCCTCTGCAATTTTAAATGTCTAAACAAAAGGGAGAAATACCATGATTATAATGCATGAAGTCTTTCTGAGTTAGACAGAAATAACCAAAGAGGAGAAGGTTTGGAGAACTTTTGGCAGGAATCAAACATAAGCACTGAAAGAATGCTATTAACTTAATAAATAAATAAAAATTAAAACCAACTATGAATACACCAGCAAAAAAGAGTCAGTGGTTATTACCACTGTTCTTTGAATGAATTCAGTCTAGTTCTAAAAGATGAAATTTTAATTGAGAAATTGTAACTGTATCATTTTGAATTTCAACTATTTGTTTTATTTCAGAGCCATTGGATACATCCCTAGTACTTTAATTTATCCAGCTTTAACTTTCTTTTTCCTCTCAGTCTGCATTTCCTACTGGGCTGTGGTAGCACTGTATCCTTTGGTAATTGACCTCTTTTAAACCTCAGGTCCACATTATTACTCAGAAGCTGGGAGTTTATATACCTTTCCATCCTGAATAGACTAGAAACATCCTAAAGATATAATTGAAATGATGATGGTGATGACTGCTAAGTTCTAAAAAAGTGAACCAATTGAATTTCCCCTCAAATAGGTCATATGGTAGATTTTGTTTTATTTTATCTACACATATGGTACTTCTCCTTTGCAATACCTAAAAAAAAAGACACATTCTTTTATATTTCATTGCTTTTAAGGGGCCACTCAGTGTAGCTGACCCATGTTATGTTACTCTGGGTCTTAAAATGAATGAATTATTAGATTATAAGTTTTTTGAAATTAGCCTTTCAGTACACTTTTGAGTTATCCACACATGATTTTCTTGTCCATTTATTTTCAATCTACCAGCAAATAATTGAACCTTAATAGAGTTCACTCAGATACTTGGCTACATCAGGGGCACCTATATACAAAGTCATAGCCCCACAGGGGCGATGTGAACATGAAAATAAAACCTGTGACCCAGTGGTAAGTAAAAGAAACTCTTTTATTTACTTTAGCAAAGAACTCTGCTACATTTCATCCAACAACTGTTGTAGGAATGCTCCTGTAGTAGAGACCCTGTGCACTGATGAGGATCACTGTAGAGATGGGGAGAGTGAGTCAGCCGTTAGGACGGAGAACAGTGGGCAGAACAGAGAGAAAGCACTGCTACTGCCTGAGCTCCCTTGTCGTGTCTTATACCTAAGAAGCATGTACAGTCAACAACCACACTGGTAAATGTAAAAGTACAGTGGATGCAGACTAATGAACATGTAATGGTAAAATGAGATGCTTTCCCATAACTCATGAAAGAACTGTATAAAGTGATGTTATAGCAAATAGAAATAACAGCAGAAGCTCATAGAAGAGGAGCAGGACAAGCAGTTGGGGGCTACACAAGAGAAGGCAGGGAAGGCATGATCTTGGAATAGTATTATTATATTATCCTTGTTGGTTTCTTTTTTCTGAGTGCAGGGTTTTAATTCAACTGAAATTGCCAAAGCTTGCCCTGGGGCTCAGTGTCATTTTGCTTTCTATGGTGGAAAGAGCCTATATCATCAATACATCACTACCTTCCAGTTACTCAATCTATTCGTCTTTCTCTGGCTTATAAACTTTGTCATTGCATTGGGTCAGTGTGCCCTTGCTGGTGCCTTTGCTTCTTATTATTGGGCCTTGAAGAAACCTGATGACATCCCACCCTATCCACTTTTTACTGCATTTGGACGAGCCATAAGGTAAATTTCACATTGGACACTACATCTGTCTTCCCAGTTATGTTGAGTGTGCTTATAATTAAAGTGGCAAAGTACTTGAGGTCAGAGGTATAATTCAAGATTCATGAATGTCCATTGGCTTTGTCTGGCTTTATAGCCATGATTTTATTTTTAACCCCTACCGAGGCCAATCCTTCTAAAAGGTTACTGGAGTGAAGAAGTAGGGGAGGTCACTAAATTAAAGATTAAGGATGAACTTGTCTCTCTTTCTTCATTGCTCAGCTCAAACATAAAATCAATATTAAATGATAGGCTATCGGTATCATTTTTGTAGATGAAGTACAAAATGGATGTGTATGGTTTAAAGGCCTCTATAGAGACCTTTGTCAATCTGAATAAGAGACTAGAAGTTCTTTTCTATTGACCCTTTTACCCTTTAGTTAATAAAAATTAACTAACATCCTTTTAGTTCTTAGTAAAAATATTTTAACCTTTATTCTCATTTTATCTTTGTCCAGATATCACACAGGATCCCTAGCATTTGGATCTTTAATTCTTGCAATAATTCAAATGTTCAGATTAATCCTAGAATACATGGACAAACGTCTTCAAAGTAAGATTCTACAATTCATCTTTTCTCAGACTTCCTGACTTCTGTAAATAGAGTAGACTGGATCAGGGGTTGGGGGAACATAATGACCGTAACTTGGATGCAGTAATAGGGATGGATGTGGTCAGATTGGGGAGATGTTTAGAAGGAAAAGCCAACAGGACTTGTTGAGGGATTGAATACGGTGGGGATGGGGATAGGAGCAGTGGTAGAGAAAAAGTGTGTGATACTGAAAGCCGCTCATTTGTGTCTGACTCTTTGTGACCCCATGGACTGTAGCCTATCAGGCTCCTCTGTCCATGGGATTCCTCAGGCAAGAATACTGGAGTGGGTTGCCATTTCCTTCTCCAAAAGTGTGTGATGTTGCTTACTAAAGTATGGAAGCCAGGAGAAACACAATTCAAAGAAGAGATTAAAATTTGTGTTTTTGACCTGTTAACATTAAGAAGCATGGTGGAGATGTCAGGCAGTTCTAAGTCTAGAGCTCAAGACAGGGCAGACTTAAAATATAAATTGTGGATGTCATTTGCACACACATGACACATACAGTTTATAAAAACATAAGCTGTTTATAATGTACTTTAAAATATTTTATTATTAATTATAAAAATAATCTTGAAACAGAACAACAAATTTGGAAAACATACAGTTCCTGATTTCAAAACTAAATACAAAGCTACAGAAATCAATACAGTGTGGCACTGGTATAACAATAGACATATAGTTCTGAGATAGACTAGAAAGCCCTAAAATAAATGCTCAGAAAAAGACTGTTTGATGTGGGAGAGTTTCTTTCAATGTATGTAACAAAGAAAACTGGATATCTACATGCAAAAGAATGAACCCTTGCCTCACACCATATACATGAATTAACTCAAAATGGATCAAAGACAAGCATAAAAGCTAAAACTATAAAAGTCTTAGAAGAAAGCATCGGAGTAAATCTTCTTAACATTGGATTTAATGATGATTTCTTAGATATGATACTAAAAACACAGGGAACAAAAGAAAAAACAGATAAATTACACTTCATCAGTGTTTTTAAAATGCTTGTACATCAAAGGACACTATCAAGAAAGTAAAAAGACAATGCACAGAATGGGAGAAAATACTTGCATGTCATATACCAGATAAGCAACTAATATTTAGAATGTATAAATAACTCCTACAACTCAAAAATAAATAACCTAATTCAATATGGGCAAAGGATTTGTTAAGTAGATTTTTTTTTCAGCTTGAGGTATAATTGACAAATAAAATTGTATTTTTTAAGTGTACAAATGAGTTAATGCATATATACATTGTGAAAGGATCCCCACATTTAAGATGGGACATTTTTTCCCTTTTTTGGTGAGAATGCATAGGTTCTACTCTCCTAGCGAATTTCAATATACAATACAGTATTATCAACTGTAGTCTTGTTTTACATTATATCCTAAAACTTTATTCATCTTATAGCTAAAAGCTTACCAGCCTCTCCCAATTTCTTCCATGCCCAGCATGTAATAACCACCATTCCATTCAGTTTATATGCATTACAACTTTTCCCCCATGTATAAGCAATACCATGCATATTTGTTTTTGTCTGGCTTACCTCTCTTAGCATAATGCCCTCAGGTTCATCCATGTTATTGCAAAGGTAAGGTTTCTTTCTATTTTATGGCTGAATAATATTCCATTGTGTATATTTACTATACTTTATTGATTGATGTACCTAATAACACTTAGGTTGTTTCCATACATTGGATACTGTAAATAATGCTGCAATGAACACTGGAGTGCAATGATCTCTTCAAGATAGTGATTTTGTTTCCTTCAATTATATATACAGAGTTAGAATTGCTGGATCACATGGTAGTCCTATTTTTAATTTCTTAAGGGACCTCCATACTGTTTTCCATAGTGGATGCATCAATTAACATTCTTACCAACAGCGTACAAGGGTTCTCTTTTCTCTACATTCTTACCAATACTTGTTATCTCTTGTATTTTTGATAACAGATATGTGAACAGGTATGAGGTGATATCTCATTGAGGTTTTGATTTGCGTATCTCTGATATAAGTAATGTTGGACACCTTTTCATGTACCCATTGGCCATTTGTATGTTTTCTTTGAAACATCTATTCTGGTTCTTTACCCGTTTAATTGGGTTATTTGGTTTTTTTTTTTTTTTTTGCTGTTGAATTCTATAAAGTCTTTGTATATTTTGAATATTAACCCTTTATCACATGTGGTTTGCAAATATTTTCTCCCATTCAGTAGGTTGCCTTTTCATTTTTTTTATGGTTTTCTTGCTGTGCAGAAGCTATTTAGTTTAATGTAGCCTACTTGTTTAGTTTTGCTTTTGTTGCATTTGCCTTTTTTGGATGTAAAATCTAAAAAGTCATTGCCAAGGCCAAAGTCAAGGAAATTACCACTATAAAATCTTGTAGGATTTTATGGTTTCAGGTTTTCCATTCAAGTCTTTAATCCATTTTGCATTGATTATTCTGTGTGGTGTAAGATAAGTGTCTAATTTCATTCTTTTGCATGTGGTTATCTGTTGTTCCTAACACCATTTATTAAAGAAACTGTCTTTTTCCCATTGTATATTCTTGACTTTTTGTCAAAAATTGACTATAGATGCATGGGTTATTTCTGGGTGTTCTATTTTTAATGCCAGTACCATACTGTTTTGATTACTTTAACTTTGTAAAAGAGTTTGAAACCAGAAAGTATAAGGCCTTTAGCCTTGTTACTCTTTCTTAATTGCTTTGGTTATTTGGATCTCTTGTGATGTTATACATATTTTAGGATTGCTTTTCCTGTTTCTGTGAAAAAAAGCATTGAAATTTTGTTAGGGATTGCATGAAAGTTTTAGATTCCTTTGGGTAGTATACACATTCTGTGCTGTGTGGTGCTTAGTCACTCAGTCAGGTCCAACTCTTTGCGACCCCATGGACTATAGCCCACCAGGCTCCTCTGTCCACGGGGATTCTCCAGGCAAGAATACTGGAGTGGGTTGCCATGCCCTCCTCCAGGGGATCTTCCCAACCCTGGGATCAAACCCAGGTCTCCCACATTGCAGGCAGATTCTTTACTGTCTAAGCCACCAGGGAAGCCAATAATAACATTTCAAATGTACATTAAATTACATTTTAAATTATATTTTAACTATTAATTCCTTCAATGCATGAACATGGAATATTTTCAACTTATTTGTTTCTTCATTCTTTTTTGTCAATAGCTCACAATTTTTAATACACAAGTATTTCTCTTCATTTACATTTATTTCTAGTTATTTTATTGTTTTGATATAATTGTAAATGAAACTGTACTCAATTTCTAATTCCAATAATTAGTTGTTGGTATAGAGAAAAACAGCCGATTTTTGTATATTGATTTCATTACCTGAAACTCTACTGATTTCATGTATTAGCTTTAATTGTTTTCTTGGTGGAGACTGTAGAGTTTTCTTATGTAATACCATTGATCTGCAAACAGAGACAATCTTCTTCCTTTCTGATTTGAATACCATTTATTTCTTTTACTTGCCTAATTACTCTGAGACTTCCAAGTTCTAAACTGAAAAAATGTGGCATTAGTGGGCATCCTTGTCTTGTACCTATTATTAAAGGAAAAGCTTTCAGCTTTTTACCATTGAGTATGATGTTAGCTGTGGGCTTGTAAGAAATGGTCTTGGTTATGTTCAAACCTTCTATAACCAGTATACTGAGAGATTTTCTTACAAAAGGAGGTTGAGTTTTGTCAAGTAATTTTTCTGCATCTATTGAGATGATCATATGATTTTTCACCTTCATTTTGTTAATGTTCAGTTCAGTTAAGTCGCTCAGTCATGTCCAACTCTTCGCAACCCCATGAACTGTAGCATGCCAGGCCTCCCTGGCCATCACCAACTCCCGGAGTCCAACCCATGTCCATTGAGTCTGTGATGCCATCCAACCATCTCATCCTCTGTCATCCGCTTCTCCTCCCACCTTCAATCTTTCCCCGCATCAGGGTATTTTCAAATGAGTCAGTTCTTCACATCAGGTGGCCAAAGTATTGGAGTTTCAGCTTCAACATCAATCCTTCCAATGAACACCCAGGACTGATCTCCTTTAGGATGGACTGGTTGGATCTCCTTGCAGTCCAAGGGACTCCCAAGAGTCTTCTCCAACACCACAGTTCAAAAGTATCAATTCTTCAGAGCTCAGCCTTCTTTATAGTCCAACTCTCACATCCATACATGACTACTGGAAAAACCATAGCCTTGACTAGACGGACTTTTGTTGGCAAAGTAATGTCTCTGTTTTTTAATATGTTGTCTAGGTTGGCCATAACTTTCCTTCCAAGGAGTAAGCGTCTTTTAATTTCATGGCTGCAATCACTATCCGCGGTGATTTTGGACCCCAGAAAAATAAAGTCAGCCACTGTTTCCACTGTTTCCCCATCTATTTGCCATGAAGTGATGGGACCGAATGCTATGATCTTAGTTTTCTGAATGTTAAGCTTTAAGCCAACATTTTCACTCTCCTCTTTCACTTTCCTCAAGAGGCTCTTTAGTTCTTCTTCACTTTCTGCCATAAGGGTGGTGTCATCTGCATATCTGAGGCTATTGATATTTCTCCCGGCAATCTTGATTCCAGCTTTTGCTTCATCCAGCCCAGTGTTTCTCGTGATGTACTCTGCATATAAGTTAAATAAGCAGGGTGACAATAAACAGCCTTGATGTACTCCTTTTCCTATTTGGAACCAGTCTATTGTTCCATGTCCAGTTCTAACTTGCTTCCTGACCTGCATACAGGTTTCTCAAGAGGCAGGTCAGATGGTCTGGTATCCCCATCTCTTTCAGAATTTTACACAATTTATTGTGATCCACACAGTCAAAGGCTTTGACATAGTCAATAAAGAATAAATAGATGTTTTTGTTAATGTGGAGCATATTATTAATTTGCATATGTTGAACCATCCTTGCATCCTGGTATAAATCCTACTTGATTTTGGCATGTGATTCTTCTAATTTCATATTGAATTCAATTTGCTAATATTTTGTTAAGGATCTTTGCCTTTATATTTATCAGGGTTACTGGCCTATAATTTTCTTTTCTTGCAGTGTCCTTGTGTGGGTTTGGTATCAGGGTCATGCTAGCCTCATAAAATGAGTTTGTAAATGTCCTCTCCACTTCTGTTGTTTGAGAGTTTGAGAAGAGTTATATTTATATTAATTCTTCTTTGAATGTTTGGTAAAATTTCACCACTGAAGCCACTTGATCCTGGACTTTGCTTTGTTGGGAGGTTTTTGATTACTGATTCAAAATCTTTACTAGAAATTGATCTGTTCAGATTTTCTACTCCTTCACGATTCAGTTCAGCAAGTTATATGTTTCTAGGAATTTATTCACTTCTTCTAGGTAGTCACATTTGTTGGTGTAAAATAGTAGTCATATGTAGTAGTAGTCATATGTAGTCAGTTATGATCCTTTATGTATGTTATCAGTCATAATGTTTCCTGTTTCATTTCTGAATTTATTAATATTTAAGCCTTCTCTCCTTTTTTCTCAATTAGTCTAGTGAAGGGTTTGTCAATTCTGTGTTTGCAGAAACAAGCTGGTATTTTCATATATCTTTTTGATTGCTTTTTCAACCTCTTTCATTTATTTCCAGTTTGAGCTTTATTATATCCTTTCTTATACTAACTTTGTACTTAGTTTCTTCTTTTTTTCTAATTCCTTGAGGTGTGAAGTTAGTTTTTCTGAGACTTTTTTTAATAACATAGGTGTTCATTGCTGTGAACTTACCTCTTAGAACTGCTTTGCTGCATTCTATATGTTTTGATGTGTTATGTTTCTATTTTCCTTTGTTTCAAGTTTTCACTTTTGATTTATTCTTTCACCTCTTGATTATTCTAATCTCCACACATTAGTGAATTTTCCAGTTTTCTTCTTGTAATTGACCTCTAGTTTCATACTATTGTCTTTAGAAAAGAGGCTTGATATGATTTCAGACATCTTGCATTTATTAATACTTGTTTTGTGACTAACATGATCTATCCTGGAGAATGCTCCATGTATAGTTGAGAAGAATGTGTATTCTTCTGTGGTTGGATGGAAAGTACTATAAATGCTATGTCTTAACATTAGTTAATATGTACTTAAGTCCAATGCTCCCTTTTTGATTTTTCTATTAAAAAGGGAATTTTGAAAATCTATGCTATTGCCCCCGGCGGCCGTTGAAAAATGGCGACTGTCGCTGAGTTGAAGGCCGTTTTAAAGGACACTTTGGAAAAAAGAGGAGTGTTACGGCATTTAAAAGCAAGAGTTCGTGCAGAAGTTTTCAGTGCCCTTGATGATGAAAGTGAACCTCAGCCATCATTGTCTCATGAAAACTTTCTAATTAATGAACTAATTCGGGAGTATTTGGAATTCAACAAATACAAGTATACAGCGTCCGTCCTCATAGCAGAATCTGGTCAACCTGTAGTTCCACTGGACAGACAGTTTCTCGTCCATGAACTAAATGCATTTGAAGATTCAAAGGATAATATAATACCTCTTTTATATGGGATTTTAGCTCATTTCTTGCATGGAACTAAGGATGACAACCAAAATACATTTCTGAAAGGGTCTTCATTCCAGCCTCCAAACCCAAATCTTGGCAGACAACCTAGTGCAAGAAAGCAAATGGAAGACCACTTGTGGAAGGAGCAGGGGAGGGGCACTGATACTGAAAACCTGCACACTTCTGCCTCGGTGAACAGATGACACTTCCAACTGGGGCATCTTTTATCTTAAACTTGTATGTATTAAATAACTTATTTATTCTCCCAATGTTACCAGAATTCATCGCTAGTATTGTACTTTGTAAAAACGTGAAGTTTCTACAAAACCTTTAGCCCCTCATGTTTTACTGCATTTGTGAATAAAAGCTAACTCTGTCATCTAGTTTACCAGATTTGACTTGAAAGAAAATGTGTGGTTTTTAGGACGATTTTAAAGGTCCCTAAATCTGTGAGAAAAGAAAGGGTTTTTTTTTTTGTACTCTATAAATTCTTCTAAAGAAAAAAATCAAGTATTTCTAGCCATATGCCCTGTTCTGTTTTTGGCTGTGCTTCGCAGCTTGTGGAATCTTAGTTCCCTGACCGTGGATTGAACCTGGGCCCTGGCACTGAAAGTACTGAGTCCTAACCACTGTACCTCCAGAGAGTTCCCTGCTCTGTTCTTTACCATGGCACATTAATTAAATTTCTTTAAGGCTGGAATAATGTGGATTTACAGGAAAATGCATTCATTAAAAAAAAAACCACATTTAAAAAAACACTAAAGCCAGAAAAAACTAATTCCTATAAAGTTTGATTTGGGGGGGCGGGTGAAACTAGCTATTTTTTAGATAACCATTTATAATTAGGTTTAAATATCTGAATTACTATCTAAAATTGAACTTTAAAACTTGGTAACAATGTACTTTTTATTTTCTTAAACAATTTTGGCTTCTCCTAGAAGATTTAATTAAAAGGTGGGGGTGGGGGATAATTCTTTTAATTTTGCTGTAAGTAAAACAAAGAGTTTATTACTTGAAGAATGTGGAATAAGCATGATGAGACAGGCTTTAGGAGAAATACCGGAAAGTACCTTTTAAAAGATGGCATTGTTTATCTTCCTTGTGGCCCTCAGTTGTGCAGTTACCAGATGAGCTCTGAAAGGGCCCAACCCTCACTTGTATGGGCTCTGAAACCTTCTTAAATGTCATGTTTTATTCCTGGGATAGAAAAGTAGTAAGATTTCTTATAGTGCCATCTCTAAAATGCTTTGATATTTATTGACATTTTTATAATGTGGAATCTTCAGGCTGGCTTCACTGAAGCAGCAAATGAGTATAGTAGACAGAATCTGATTGGCACAAGATACAAGGTATATTCAGAACAAAACTGCATGGGTACCTATACACTGACAACATTTAGCTTAAACATTTTCCATAGGAAGGGTGATAAGGAAGGACTGTAGCTGGCAAAATTGGCATTCTTTTTGGGGTGTTGATTCTGTGCTGCTTTTGGAAATTACCAAACCTTTATTTCTGGTGCTAGTCAAGTTTTTGGTGTAAGGAGTTCAATCCTTATAGATTAACCAAGAATTTTTATCTTAATGCTGAAAACTATTAAAGAAGTTCCCTTAAATCATACTTTAGAAGTCAAAAGATTTTTGAGAGCCCCTATTAGTGGGCTAAAATTATATATACGGATGTAGAAATACTATAAAGGGCTCATTTCCATTTTGTAAATAAAATCTATAGTACCTGATTACAATGATGAATTCCACTGTATTGTATAGGAGAATGTAACTATCTAAATTCTTCTGAGAGGATTTGGTTTACACCCAGGAATGTTGGCAGTGGACACTGTTTACCTCAGGAATTGCAATCATGCAGGACTAGATTAAGAAAAAGTGCTGGAGTTTGTCATTTTGGATACAATATGAAATCATCAAAATAGAAGCTAAACGGAATTGTCACATGTAGTCCATATTGTGTCTGTATGCATTATTCTGTAATTTGTTTGTACCTAGGCAACTTTTATACTTTCAGTGTACCATTTAATTAAAAAAAAAAAGCGTGCAAAAAAAAAAAAGAAAATCTATGCTATTATTATATTGCTAAATATTTCTTCCTTCATATATATTTATATCTACTTTATATATTCAGGTGCCCCAATGTTAGGTGCATAAATATTTATAATTTCTATCTATTCTTGGTAAACATACCCTGTTTTAATTGTATAATGAACTTTGTATTACAACAAACTGTAGAAAATTCTTAAAGAGATGGGAATACCAGACCACCTACCTGCCTCCTGAAAAACTTATACATGGTCAGGAAGCAACAGTTAAAACTGGACATGGAACAATAGACTGGTTCCAAATAGGGAAAGAAGTACATCAAGGCTGTATATTGTCACCCTGCTTATTTAACTTATACGCCGAGTACATCATGAGAAACGCTGGGCTGGATAAAGCAAAAGCTGGAATCAAGATTGCCAGGAGAAATATCAATAGCCTCAGATATGCAGATGACACCACCCTTATGGCAGAAAGTGAAGAAGAACTAAAGAGCCTCTTGAGGAAAGTGAAAGAGGAGAGTGAAAACGTTGGCTTAAAACTTAACATTCAGAAAATTAAGATCATGGCATCTGGTCCCATCACTTCATGGTGAATAGATGGGGAGACAGTGGAAACAGTGACAGACTTTATTTATTTATTTATTTTTTGGCTCCAAAATCACTGCGTATAGTGATTGCAGCCATGAAATTAAAAGACGCTTACTCCTTGGAAGGAAAGTTATGACCAACCTAGATAGCATATTAAAAAGCAGAGACATTACTTTGTCAACAAAGGTCCGTCTAGTCAAGGCTATGGTTTTTCCAGTAGTCATGTATGGATGTGAGAGTTGGACTATAAAGAAAGCTGAGTGCTGAAAAATTGATGCTTTAGAACTGTGGTGTTGGAGAAGACTCTTGAGAGTCCCTTGGACTGCAAGGAGATCTAACCAGTCCATCCTGAAGGAGATCAGTCCTGAATATTCATTGGAACGACTGATGTTGAAGCTGGAACTCCAATACTTTAGTCACCTGATGTGAAGAACTGACTCATCTGAAAAGACCCTGATGCTGGGAAAGATTGAAGGTGAGAGGAGAAGGGGATGACAGAGTATGAGATGGTTGGATGGCATCACTGACTCAATGGACATGAGTTTGAATGGACTCCAGGGGGAGGCCTGGTGTACTGCAGTCCATGGGGTGGCAAAGAGTTGGACACAAATTAGAGACTGAACTGAACTGAACTGAATGAGCTTTGTGCCTTGTTTCAGCTTTTGGCTTAAAGTCTATTTTGACTGATACAAATATAGGTACACCTGGTTTCTCTTGGCTTCCATTTTCATGGAAAAATCTTTTTCTAATCTTTCACTTTTCGTCTCAGTATGTCTTTAAAGGTGAAATGAAGCTCCTGTAGGTAGCATATACTTGAATCTTTTTAAAAATTTTCATTCAACCATTCTGTCTTTTGATTGGAAAATTTAGTTCATTTACATAGTTGTAATTATTGCAAGTTATAGACTTACTTTTTTCTATCTTGTTAACTCTTTTCTGGCTGTTTCAAAGTTTTTTGGTTTTTCTTCTCTTTCTTTGTGATTTTATCATTTTATATAGTGGTATCTTTTGATTCCTTTCTTGTGTCTACTATAGGGTTTTACACTGTGGTTATTGTGAGGCTTATGTAAAATATCTTATAGTTATAATAACTAAAGGAGAAGGAAATAGCAACCCACTCCAGTATTCTTGCCTGGAAAATTCCATGAACAGAGGAAGCTGGAGGGCTACAGTCCATGCGATTACAAAGAGTCAGCCACGACTGAGCACATCAGCAGTATAATAACCAAATACCTTATAGTTAAAATATCTTATAGCTGATAATAATTCTTTTCAAAAAAGAAAAAATATCTTATAGCTGATAATAATTCTTTTCAAAAAAGAAAAAATATCTTATAGCTGATAACAAGTGAATTAGTAACGCATACAAAAATTCTACATTTTTATATCCCCTATGCACATATATTTTATGCTGCAATGTTTTTGATATCACAATTTATATCTTTTTATGTTGTGGATCCATTAACAAGTTATGTAGTTATAATAGAAAAGTCCTTTTAATACTTTGTCTTTAACCTCTATACTATGGTTCTAAGTGATTTACCAGTACCATTAAAATTTTAGACCATTTTGAATTTAAGTGTATATTTACCTTTACTGTGAGTTTTATGCTTTCATATATTTTCATGTTACTAATTAGCATCCTTTTGTTTCAGCTTAAAGAACTCCCTTTAATATTTCTTGTAAGGCTGGTCTACTGGTGATGAACTCTTAGCTTTTGCTTGTCTGGAAAACTCTTACCTCTCCTTCAATATTGAAGGATAACTTTGCCACATAGATTGTCTCTTGGTTGGCAGATTTTCCTTTCAACACTTCTAATATATTCTACTTCATTCTGGCCTGCAAAGTTTCTGCTGAAAAATATGCTTATATTCTTATGGGGATTTCCTTGTATATAAGAAGTTCCTTCTTTTCTGCTGCCTTTACCTGACTTTTGAAAATTAACTCTGTGTGATTCAATGTGAATCTCTTTAGATTGGTATTCTTTGAACTTTCTGAATCTGGATGTCTCTTTGTCCAGGCTAGGGAAATTTTCAGTCATTATTTCTTTGTATATGTTTTCTGCCCCTTTTTGTTCTCTCTTCTTCCTCTGGGACCTCTGTAATATATATAATGGTCTGCTTGATGGTGTCACATTAGTTTCATAACTTCATGCTTTCTCTAAATGGATAAACCCCATTGCGTTGTCTTTGAATTCATTGCTCCTTTCTTTCACTAGATCTAGTCTGCTGTTGAATTCTTTTGTTTAATTTTTCAGTCCAATTATTGTAATTTTGAGCTCTATAAATTCTGTTTTGCATTTTAGAAATTTTCTGTCTCTTTATTGAAATTCTCATTTTCTTCATGCATTACTCCCTGACCATGGTAAGCATCTTTACGACCATTATTTTGAATTCTGTATTGGGTAAGTCAATGACCTCTGTTTCATAAATGCCAGTTTTGGAAATATATCTTGTTTGTTTATTTGGAACATATTCCTTTGTTCCTTCATTTTTTTCCTTGACTCTCTGTATTTGTTTATGTGCATTAGATAAAGCAGCCATCTTTCCCAATTTGACAGACTAGGCTCATATAGGAGATGAACTTCATTAATCAGCCCAGCCCAAGCTTCTTATTCTCTCAAATCTTTCTGATTGTCCTAACCATCATAGTTAAGTAGCTCTTAGTAGTTGAAAGTGTAACTAGACCTGTCGGTGTCCCAAAGGGAAGGGTCAGAGTCAGAACCTAGACAAGGCTGATTAGAAGCTAAACCCTTAGACATCAGCTGAGAAGTATGTAGTTAAGCTCCTTTCAGGGAGAAACTAGGAGGGAAGTTTTTGCCGGCTTCCTCAGCACTCAGCCAGGATATATAGTGGTTAGTAGTGGTTAGTGGTTAGTGGTGGTAGGGCATTCCTTAACCATTTAGAAACTGATTCTTTGTTTTCTACAGTCCTGTGAGACTCATAAGTGCAAGCCCTAACTAGAGCTACACAAAGCTGGGTCACCAGGCATGTGTACAAGCTCCTTCCAAAGAGAAGTTGGTGACCTGCTCCCCCTAGCTCCTTGTAGGACCACAGGTAGATCTAGAGTGTGCAAATTAGAAATTCAACTTTTAGGCAGGGTGCTGTAAAGTATGCACTCAGTCCCTTCCCAGGAAAAGACTGGAAGATGGGCATTTTTGCTTGCTCTTTGCTAGTCTCTGTGATTGCTTATAGTTGTTGTTTATAGTCCCATAGAACTTGTGGGCATAAGCCCCTTTGGCTTCAGAGCTAAATGTTTTGGAGGTCGTCTCTTGAGTGGGAATCTTGAAAGTTGGAATCCTTGATATGCTGCTCAAACCCTTTACTCCTCAGGGAGAAGCTGAGAGTTGTGGGTACTGTCCTGGTGGTACGGCATTATGCCAGGGGTAGGGTTTACGGTGAGTGTGTCTCAGCTTTTCCTACACTTTCACTGTTAGATTTTTTTAGTTGCCTGATGTGAAGGAGTTACTCAGCTTGTTTCTGGATTTCTCTCAGAGGAAATTGCTCCGAGTGTTGCTAGACATTTGGTGCATCTGTGGGAGGAGGGAAGTTCAGGAGCTCCTTGTTACCATCTTTGTCCCTCCTGCGAATGATTTGCATAAATATCTCTCTGAAGAAAGTATATAAGTGGTAAATAAATATATGAAAGGATGCTCAATGTTAGTCATTGTGGAAATGGAAATCAAAAACATAATGAGCTGCCACTTCATACCCAATAGAATGGCTACTATCAAAAACTGAAAAATAATATGTTTGTAGGTTGAGGATAAACTGGAACACCTGTGTATTTCTGGTAGGAAAGTAAAATCATATTGCCACTGTGGAAAACAGTATGGTGATTCTTTAAAAAGTTAAAAATACAGCTGCCATATGATCCAGCATTTCCACTTCTAGATATATACTCAAAAAGTTTGAAAGCAGGGACTCAAATAAATACTTGGGCACCAATATTCATAGCAGCATTATTCACAATAGCCAAAAGATAGAAACAACCCAAATTTCCAATAACAGATAAAAGAAAAAACAAAATTGTTTGTGTGTGTGTATATATATACACACACATACACACACATACATACGTACAACAGAATATTATTCAGCTCTAAAAATAAATGTAATAGATGGATCCTCAGAACTTAATGTTAAGTGAAATAAGTAAGAGACAAAAGGTCAAATATTGTAAGATTCTGCTTATATAAGGTATCCAGAAGAGGCAAATTCATACAGACAGAAGCAGGATAGAAGTTACCAGGGACATGGAGGAGGGGAGAATGAGGAGTTATTGTTTTCATGGGTACAGAGTTTCTATGAGATAATGAAAAGTTCTGGAAATTGATAGTGATGGCAGTTTCACAATACTGTGAATGTACTTAATGCTACTGTGTTGTACACTTAAAAATGGTTAAAATGGCAAATTTTATATATATTTTACTACAGTTAAATCAAAAAGCCCGTTTAAAATTTTGCTATTATTTATTTTTATTCATAGAGTCTACAAATCATTAATAAGTTTAAATATCTCCTTCTCATAGAGGCCCAGAGCAACATTTCTAAATTCCTAAAATGCTGCCTGAGATGCTGTTTCTGGTGTTTGGAAAAGGCAGTAAAGTTTTTGAACAGAAATGCCTATGTTATGGTAAGTAGATTATTTTTATTTACTAAACTTCTTTGCAAACCCGAACCCCATGTCTACATTTCCATCTCAAAAGCACTTGTACATCAAACAGTTGAATTTATTACCATGTTGACACAAGAATTTGTGAATCCAATGCATGATTCAGGACTGTGCTTTCCTAGCTGAGATAGTAACTTAACTGTACTTCATTATTACCTTCAATACCTTTATGAAGAGGGAAAATATTATTTCCCTTGTGTGTGTGTACCCTCAGTCGTGTCTGACTCTTTGCAACCCCATGGACTGTAGCCCTCCAGGCTCCTCTGTCCATGGAATCCTCCAGTCAAGAATACTGGAGTGAGTTGCCATTTCCTCTTCCAGGGGATCTTCCTGACCCAGAGATCAAACCTGTATTTCCTGCATTGGCAGGCAGATTCTTTACCTCTGCACTACCTGGGAAGCCCATTATTTCCCTTAGAAATAGAAAAATGTGCTAGATTGAAAATAACATTATTTGTCTTTGACATACTTTCATGAGAGGGAAGCTTAATTAGTCTAGATTTCATGATGAAAAGAAAATATTCTTCTAATTCTGAAATTTACACATTTTTAAGGAAGGATCTGTTTCTTTTTATGATTCTTATTTTGAAATGTGTGGGAATTGATAATATAACTGAATTTGTTACTTATTTCCAATAGGAATGTGGAGGCTTCTAAAGAGATTTTTTTTTTTAAATAGGGGATCCAAAAATATTGTTCTAAAATTTAGCAACTACAACCTTATTAACACTTGATTATCACAGTGATATAGGGTCTGATGGTGTGATTCAAATAGTTATTGATATTCAAAGAGTCATTTATATAACTCCAGTGAGAATATTTTATTGAGCCTCTTAATCAATAAAGCAAGTGTGTATTGGAAGGCACAGGGTTTCCTGAGAGTAATTTTTAATGTGAATGCTACAACATTTAACCTATTCAGCAGCACATAGCCAAAACCCTTCAAAGACAAGCTGTGGCCAGGGATTTGAGAAGACCTACCTCTGTTTAAAGTTGTGTATTTCCCATGGAATTAAGTGAAAATAGCAACTGAAATTTACCTGATTGTCAATGACTCTGAGAGTTGTGCAGAGTTGAGGATACATGGTTCCCAAGCCTCCCATGAGCCCAAAGGTTGGAAAGATGAATGAGAGTAACTGAATGGGTGACAGAGAATTAATTAATGTTCCTGTCATTGGATTGTCTGTTGGCCTTGTTAAGTTATCAGAATAATATCAACTGTCTTCTTCAGATGGCAATATACGGCAAAAACTTCTGCAAGTCAGCAAGAGATGCTTTCAATCTGCTGATGAGAAATATTTTAAAGTAAGTAAGCACGTTGAGCACTGCAGTGGATGGTTTGGTGAATCTTGAGCATTCATACTTCACATGTTGGTGGTTTTATTAGACATGAATCTTCTCTTTTATTTTAAAAGATTTAAATCTTCTCCTTCACACCTTTAATTTCTTTGTATGTCTTTGAATTGTTGCTCCCATCATCCATCTATACCTTTATACCCACTGGCACTTACTCATCTTTATTATACCCTATGCTCAAGAAATACCCCCACACAAATATTATAATCATGTTTCCGACTTTTTCTTCCTCCCAAAATTGGCAGAGTCTGAGTGAACAAAATCAGAGAACCAACGCAGCCATCCTCAGGATGCAGGGTGTCTATAGTCCTCAAATTAGTGAGAGAGGCTGACACCACCTGACATCCCTATAATGCCATTTTCTGTTTAGTTCCTTATAAATGTCAGAATTTCATGCCTGGGTTCCTTCATTTCTTGCATTTAATAAATGCTAAGTAAGATTTCAGCAAAGACACATCAAAATGAATTTATGGATTATTTACTTTCATAAATTTCTAGTAATAAATCTAAGTTAAACACAAAATTATACTTTTTTTCCTGATTCTCAGAATTGCAGTTATGGATAGAGTGACAGACTTTGTACTAATCCTGGGGAAGATTCTAGTTGCTGGGTGTATAGGTAAGTAGTCATAGTAATAATAACAATAACAACAACAATGAAGTTTTGAAAAAATTTAACAGGTGCTTAGAAAAACTTCTTTATGACAAAAAGCTATATTCCTTTGCTCCAGGTGTCCTGGCCTTTCTACTTTTCACCAAAAGACTCCCAGTGATTATAGAAGGACCAACATCTTTAAATTACTACTGGGTACCTTTGCTGGTAAGAGCTGATAGTAACTTTGGGCTGCTACAATAAAAATACCATAGACTGGGTAGCTTAAACAACAAGGGTTTATTCATCACAGTTTTGAAAGCTGAGAAGTCCAGATTCAGTCCCTAGTCAGAGCTTCCTTCCTAATTTGCAAAGGCATACCTTCTTGCTGTATCCTAACAGAGTAGAAAGAGAGATCTTCTCTCATCTTATCTTATAAGGGCACTAACCATTCACAAGGTCTCCATCCTTGTTTCCTCATTGCCTCCCAAAGGCCCCACCCCCAGCTGCCATCACACTGGGGATTAGGTTTCCATGTAGGAATTTTGAGGGGACACAATTTATTCCATAGCTGCTGGGTAATATTAACTCTGATTTATGAGAGATGGCAAAATAAAAAAAACAAAAAGGAATAGGAGAAATAATGATAGCTAACATGATTAGTCTTACTTTGTGCCCAGCCTCATTCTGCTGTGGAGCTTGGGTTCCTTTGAAGCAACCCCTGAGACAGAGCATCGCAAGCAGAGGGCTTATTATGAAGTGCTCTCTGGAGATACACCGGAAAGGAAGAAAGGAGGGCAGGGCTGGGAAAAGAAGAAGCTGATCCGTGCTGCCATTACAGTTGAAGCTTCAGACATAAATATAGGAATTTCTGACACAGGGGCTAGGTCTCTATATACTGCATCAGGCAGCCATTGGCCAAGGGTTGCCCTCTGAATGATGGTGTAACCTTGAGTGCGGCAGTTCCCTGCGAAAGCAAGTCCTGTGGAGCAAGACGGCTGCGTCATCAGCTGCCTGCCTACATTCCCAACAACTGGGGGATAGATGTGGCAACAGGAGAGGGAGGACCTGGAGAGAACCCTGTGGGACCTTTTACAGTATATCATTAATAACTCACTCAATCCGTGTGTCATAAACACCATTGTTGCATTCTCTGCTTACCCAACAACCATCTTCCATAGGAAGCACAGAGAGATAAGTGACTTGAGTGAGTGCCTGAGCTGTGATTAAACCTAGGCAGCGTGTGCTCTTAACACCTATGCTCTGGACTTCCCCGGTGGTCCAGTAGTTAAGAGTACCTGCTGGGCATCCCTGGTGGCTCAGTGGTAGAAAAAATCTACCTGGCAATGCGGGAGACACGGGTTCAATCCCTGATCTGGAAAGATTCCACATGCCACGGGGCAGCCAAGCCGGTGAGCCACAACTATGGAAGCTCGTGCACTTAAAGCCTGTACCCTGCAAGACGAGAACCTACCCCAGTGAGAAGCCCCACTACAGCTAGAGAGCAGCCCCCACTTGCCATAACTAGAGAAAGCCCGCAGGCAGCAATGAGGACATAGCACAGCCAAAAATAAATGAATCTTTTTAAAAGAATAGGATTATTCCATGAAAATATGAAACAAAACAAAAAACTGTGCTTTACTGCCTCAGTATGCAGGATCCTAGATCTGGGATGCTTTTGGTAGGCATTAGGGATAGTGAAAAGAAAATTGGCAGATAATCTAGTACATTTTGTTTAAATCTCAGTTCAAATACACTCAAAAACATTATCATTGAATCTTTTACATTTCTATATTGAAATCTTTTCCATCAAAGAGTACTTCAAAGCTTCCTTATCATGATTTCATTTAAAACTGCATTATTGTTCTTTTGGACAAATTTACGACATCTTCATTCTCTTCTCTACCCATTTACAGACAGTGATTGTTGGCTCTTACATAATTGCACATGGATTCTTCAGCGTCTATGCAATGTGTATTGAAACAATTTTCATCTGCTTCTGTAAGTTTTCAGTATATGTGCTTTCCCTCTTCAGTGGATAACCGTAAGATGAAAAGGTTTACACCCATGTCTTTAGCTGGCTGTGGATTTGCTATGACCTGGCTGCAACTGCAAAACAGTGTTTATTTGGAAAGAGACATCGTCTAGTAGATTCTTTTTAAAACTTAAGAGCTGAGAGATGGTATTTGCAAAGCACAGGAGAGTCAGGCATCATGGCATGGTGTTAGCATGAAATTGTTTTTTAATTTCTGAAAATGTTTTCAAATTTATAGTCATGATTGGCTTCTGTTATGTTTCATTAACAACTGAAGACTTGACTGGGCTTTGAGGCTGGGCTTTGGGGACTCTTGAGGAGAGCCATTATAGTTTCTGATAAAGCCAAGCTGGCAACGATTTCAAAGATACATAGAGCCAATTCACACTAGGTAACACAATGACAGATAGATAGGATTAATAGAGAGGCGTGTCTTGGAAATGTTTAGATGAACTCTGATGCTTATAGTTAAAATATTTCATTAGGGCTTTCATCACTGACTTCTGCACTGTGCCTCTATGGAGCATGTGCTACTCACATACACAGAACGGGTATGTTTTCTATTAGTACCTCATCTTAAAAGTCCTGGGGAATCTAGTGCCCATCAGGAGCTTGATCTGCTGTCACCTTCAGCCTAGATAAAGTAAGGTCAACAGATGAAAGAACAGAGCTTGTTAGCCCTACAGCTAATACCCTCTGAGAGATTATTTCTCTGGCACATTGCTCTTAAGAGAAGCAGAGAAAACATTCTATTATAGGGCATTACTGAGTGATCCACCTGTATAAAATGAACAGTTTAGTGGGTTTTTTTGTATAACTCACAGCACCGACTACATGCTGGGGTCAGGAGAGGAGATAATGTATATGTGTGTGTGTATATGTGTGTATATATACATATATATATATATATGTATATCTGTGTGTACCACCTGCAATGTGGGAGACCTGTGTTTGATCCCTGAGTTGGGAAGATCCCCTGGAGTAGGGCATGGCATCTGCTCATGGTGCTCATGGCACCCACTCTAGTATTCTTGCCCGGAGAATCCCATGGACAGAGAAGCCTACTGTCCACAGGGTCATAAGGAGTCGGACACAACTGAGTGACTAAGCACACAAACACGTATATATATACACACACACATATACGTATATATATTTCATAGGGAGTTATAGTGAAGGAAAAAATCTTCTAGAAAATGGTTGGATCTCTTTTTCCTTTCCGAACATTTACAAATCGATTTTCAATAACTGGACAAAGAAATCAGGAGAACTTTGTGCACAAGTGAGTGCTTCCTTTGTCTCTAAATGGAACTGGAATGTTTAATCTTTTCCTAGCACCTCAGTGGCTTGTCAGGAAAAGCCATCTACAAAATATCACATGAACAAACTTCAACTCAGGTATGAAATGGAAGAAGGAACACAGGAATAAGGTAGTTTAAGACAAAGAAGAGACAGGCCTTTCAAATGTTCAGAGATCTTTCATCTCAAATGCTGATTATGAGAGCCAAACTGGGAGAGCCCACTGGGATCTTCCCCATTTTTGTAACTGCGAAGTTTTCTCAAAAGGTATCCCAGTAAATGTCTAGAACCTACCAGTTTCCAGTCTTTGGAAGCTTTGGCAAGTCTTGTGGATTTTAATTTTGACAGTGGATTCTAAATTTGAGAATGAAGAAATGTTTTGCACTCATCTATATTACTATATTCCACTCATCTATATTGCCAAGTTCTTAAAAATCAGGTATAATTTCAGCCTTGTTCAAAACATCGTGTGTTGAATGTGAACTTTTTTTTTTTTATTCTTGTCATTGATAATAAAGAACAAGAGAAACTAAACTGTGTTTCTCTTCCCTCTCCAGCTGTTATGGAAAATATTCTCCTTAAATGATATTCCAAACCAAATTCTGATTGTGTGGAACTGTACCTTTTGTTGTTGTTGTTGTTGTTTCTGCATACCTCTTTATTCCTATTATCTTGACTGCCAGAAAACTGGTATGTTTAAAAATGTGAACCACTTGCAAATACTCTACTCTATAGAAACATAGCATCCTTTCAACATTACAAAGAAATGAGAATTCTGATCCCAAGATAGGCGAAAACAATACTTGTAGATGATTATCATCATTATTATGTGATTGATATTGTAGTTCCTACCCATTCCTCAAAAGTAATAATGATATAAACATATAATATGTGATATAGAAATATGATTAAGGAAAAAAGAACAAAAATGTTCAGCATCCATGATGTTTCCTCCTTAGCTTTTCATTTTGTAGCTGAGGAAAGTCACTGTGAAATCCACTGTAAAAATCTGATAAACCGATAATCCAACCATTCCTAAGAGAGTATGGTGAAAAATAATTTAGATATATTCTAAGTGATTATGCTAAATGGTTTTATACAATATTTCTTATCCTTTATTTCATAATAAAGACTAAAAATAATATAATACTTAAATATACTAGTAAAAACAGAATCAAGTTGCATTTATATATTTGTTGAGATATTATCAGTTGTGAGTTATATGTATCTTCAAGAAATTTAATTCTATGTAAACTTCTCCTTGCTTCTCAGCATCATTCTGATCCTTTCCCCCAACCAACCAGTAGATGTGTGCTCAGTGAATACCCATCATCTCACTATTAGCCTAAGCAAAGCTATATAGCAAAAGAATATAAGCAAAGGAATATAAACTCATGTATTACAAAAGTCAGAAGACATGGCATTAACTTTTGAATGTAATCTGAGGGAAACTGCAAGGATTTAGGACAGGGCAACCTTTTAGTTAGCAGCATGAGATTTGAAGTAGGTGTCTAGAAACTGGGTCCTCACCTCATCCAGATTGCCCCAGAGCTTTCAACTTTAGGAGAATCATTTCACATCCCTGGGTCTCAGTTTCTTCATCTGTAACGTTAGGGTGTGAATTACCATTAAGAGCAACTTTGAACTCTGAAATTCAGTTATTCTCTACATGTATCGTGCCACACTTTTTATTCAGCTTCATCACAGAGGATAGGGCAGTTTACCTTTATGAACTGAACAGTAGCAGAATTTAAAGATAACACCTTTGAAAGGACATAAAAGATCTTTTAACCTTTAAACTATCAAAATAAACCTCTTTGGGAGTGGGTGGGATTTACAGAGTTTTAGTGCTTCCTGGCAGAAGTTGAAGCTTCTAACTTTGACTAGCATTGGCTATTTAACTGCACTAATTGGTCTTATATTTGACTTTCTAACACTGCTTTCTCTGTTTTATCCCTGTTCAACTCTCCAAATTCTAAAATGCATATAATTATTCTGCTGCTGCTTGCTGCTTTTGCCTGCTTTGGCTGCTGCATATACAGGTGAAGATCTGGAAAGAAATGATGGATCAACAGAAAAACCCTACTTCATAACCCCTACCCTGCACGGAATTCTGAACAAGAAGCAACTAGTTCCCCAGAAGCAGAAAAAGTAGAAAAGCTCCAAACAGTGCCATTCACTTTTAAGTAGAAGTTTTGTAAATTAGGTCATTTGTATTGGAAAATGATGCTTTTAAGTAATATGAAATTTCAGTACCTATTCCTGAAAAGCAAGAACCTGGTACCATCTGAGGTATCAGGCAGTTGATGACAGTAGCCCCTGTGAACTAGGATACTTTATAGACTGTGGTTCCAACTGAAGAGCAAGGTGTAAATGTCACATGTTTTCTTAAAGTCTATAGCTGAAAGTGTTTCCAAACTTTTATAACCTGGCATGCTGTTTTCCACTGCAGCACTTTGATGAACTTTCTTTTTACAAATGTATATTTGTAAAAGATATTCAGGAAATTTTTGAAAGCATTATAAATGTATAATCAATTAGCCATAAACAGGTTGATTTGTAGTTAACCAGCATATGGTACTAAATTTGTAAATGTGGTGCTATGGTTACATTTATACTGTTCAAGCAAGTGGACAACATCCTAAACTGTGATTAAACTTATATTAATGGTTCCCTGGGAAGTATATTTCAGTAAGTGATTCAAGACCATAATGAATATATAGACGGTAAGGTTATACAGGTTCCACAGAGAGCATTACTAGGTAAAAATCACCGTGGAACCTTCATAGGCCATTTTGTTGTCATGAAATTAAAGTTGAATCTGAGTTCTGGAATATCGTTTTTAATCATATGAACATGAGGCCACCGTGAAAATATTCTGAGCAGAACTGAGATGGCCACATAACTCGTACCCTTTGTCTGTAACCCAATAGAGATGAATCTTTATGCCTACCATATAGGCAATGGGTATGGATGTGTTTCAGAAGAGTGATTAAATCTTTTATGAGCATGCCTGTTTTTCTAGATTAAAGAGATCTTGTGGGTTTGTTCTATAAAAGGTTTAATTTTAGCTTAACTTTCAGTGAAAAAAGAGCAAAGATAAGTAAGACTTCAGATTTTACCCTAAGGAAACATTAGCCCTCCATAGGTACCTCAGCTGGTACCTTTACAAGGGGCATACTGTGGATTAGGAGAGCTCTTCCTGAAGGGGTCAGGAGGGAAGGTATTCTTCCACCTCTGCTGACCAGACCAACAAACCAGGCTCTGGCAGCCATGCCTTAGTCTTTTGCATGGCAGAGCAAAGCATGAATCAAGACACCCACATACCTTGTCTGTCCATCTCCTGTGAACAAGAGCATGAGATATGGCGAACAGTGTGAAAATGGACCCCAAGGGGGCACTGGTCAACAGTGTCCTTTTGGCTTCTACACTAAGTTTGTATATAAGGATTATTTATGTCTCGACAAAAAGGAGCATGATCTGGATATAATCCATGTATCCAGGAAGACAGTCAGAAATGTATTATTGTGTTATAACTTAACATGACTAGTAATTTATTTAATGACCCTGAAGTGTGGGGTCACTGACTTCCTACCAGCTTAATAGCAAGAAGCCAATGAATAGGGGAGAGTTTCAAAATACGGGTCCTTATATGGCCCCATCTTATTCTTAGCTTACTTTCTTGAGACGATTGTAATCAAAGTATCATTTGGCTTCATACCTTGGCAAAAGCCTTCTTCACTCTCATGTTCCTTGAAGTATAATTCAGAGAAGAGTGATAACCTGTATTTCTAGATAGTTATTATTATTTTATTCAATAATATACCTGGATGAGAGGGGATTTGGGGGAGAATGGATACATGTATATGTGTGGCTGAGTCCCTCATCTGTGTGCCTGAAACAATCACAACTTTGTTAATTAGCTATACTCCAATTTAAAATTAAAAAAAAATTAAAAAGAAATAATACAAGGTTCACAACAAAAATCTAGTCAAATAGTTACCTCTATCTTAAGTGTTGAAAATTATAAGGAATAAGTCCCCTTTTAGAAGTAGTTGAAAAATTCATAATGATGAAACAAAACAATTTTTAATTTTCTGTGTATGTATCAGAATCACTCTGAGAATTTGTTATATATATTGCTACGTGTGTTCCCCACCCCCAGAGTGTAAATATTTTGGTGTGGGGCAGCTTGTGAATTATTAAAAAGTTCTCTAGTGATTCTGATGCACATAAAAGTTGGGAAATCACTTAAATAAAATATAAATTAATGTGTGGGAAATCAGTTGCTTATTTTCTTCTTATATTCTTGGCTGTTCTAGGAATTAGAAAATTATGAAAGACAAAGGAGATTCATTTGGAGATTGCTAGTAATCATAACTTCTATTTTTAGATTCTTGGTACTAGATGGGACCCAAGTATTAAATGCTTAACATTAAAACTGCTGATTAAACCAGAAGACTCGCCACAGTGAAAGTATTCATTGAACAGTATGGAGATACATTCTAAACTTGACTATAAGAATATAACCCTTGGGTGCAAAATCATAGGAAAAGGAATGTTGTTTGGTTCAATATTTCTTAATAATTTTTTAATAATTAGAAAGCTCTGAGTAGAGAAGTTTTAACCCATATTATGCTTAATCTAGTTAGAAAAATATTTTTCATTGATTACCTCTGTGTAATTGAAATATTTAGAGAAAAAAGGGTGTTGTTTTTGAGAAAAATTTGGAAGCCACTTAGAAATTAAATAATAGTGAAAAAATGGAGAAAACGGAGCAATACGTCTCAAAATTTGCAGTTCAAGGATTTGAAATGTACTGGAAATTTACAAATCTATTTATAAAACGAGACTGCTTAAATTGTTGCTTGAAACACAAAAGCAATTTTGAATTAATACAGTAAGCTAGAAGGCAAATTCAATACATAATACTTTTTAGGAATGTGAAGGTGAATTTAGAAATTCCTCATAGATCTCCTGATTTTTGTATAATTACGTTTACTTTCTAAAAGAAGGGAAAACTTGTTTCCTCAATCGTGCAGCTGAGAGGCAGGTGCTATTGGCAGAATCAGACCTGGTACACAGAATGAGATAGTATCTTATTGACATAATAACAAGGGCTGGTTGTTTTTCATAGTTATGTTTACAGTAACGTTGGTGCCAGACTATGCTGTTTTTTTAAAATAACATTTTGAACTGCGGTAAAGCAAATACACAGCAGATGGCGATGTCACTTCTCTTACAGCCACGCTTTGATATTTACCCTGTACCGTTCTTCCTCCTAGTGGAAGATTTAGAGAGAAACGATGGTTCTGCTGAAAGACCCTATTACATGAGTCAGTCTCTGATGAAGATTATGAACAAGCGAAATGTAGAAACCAAGAAGCAGTAGAAGTGCAAACTCGGGTCATCCTGCAGCGGCGTCACTTTGCCTCATCTCCTGGGTCTGCGCTGCGCTCCTCTCATAAGTGCTCTGTGGACGGAACCCTGTATTCACGACCTTGTTGGCTTTGATTTGCATGTTTTATACCAAAGCTTATACTGTAATATGTGAAGCCATCAGAAGTTGCAAGGGAATTGTTAATAACACGGAACATTTTTTATACTAAGATCTTCTGTTTGGTAATTCATTTTTTAAAGAGAATGGCTTGGATGTTTTGAAAATACTAGTGAACATGTTAATATTGTTTTAAATATTAGATTGAAAATGATACATTATTTAAACTAATAGCTCCTAATATATTTTTAAAATTACAACTAAAAGACTTCTGCAGGGAAAATTGGTAAGCAAAGTGAAAGAGAAGATTTTAAAGTTTTCCCCACTCCCATTTGACAGTAAATCGGTAAAAGGAGCACTCCACTCCAGATTTTGCTCTAAGTATAGACTGTTTCCTATTAAACAAACTGTCAGTCATCCAGCCTTTACTACTTCATCCTCTCTGACAAAGTGCCTTACTGGCTGTTTAATATCACCCAGCTTTTGTGGGCAAGTTTACAAACATTGTTTAACAAAAAAATCCTGCAATGTTTAGTGATTAAAACAAGTCTTCTTGCATTTGTTTTCCTCTTAGCTTACTGGTTGGAAACCATTTGTCATTTCACTATGTTTGATAGTCTCACTGTATAGACTACATTTTGCAGCAAAAACAATTTCCCTTGCGCCTAGTGGACGCTCATGAATGTGCACTACACACAAGAAAAAACCTGAAAGGACACTTGTTGGGTTTGTTTGTTTGTTTTTACTAAAAATGAATTTAAAATGTAATCTTTTCTATGATAGATCTTTGAAAATGAAATAGGTAGAAGACTACATTTATCAGTGTTTTACACAGATCGGAAAGGGAAACTTTAAGAAATCACAAAGGGAAACTTTACCCCCTAGAAAGGGTGCTCACGGATATCGTGTACTGAATAGTTCCATTTTAAATGATTTATTGTCCATGAGTGTACTAAGTATGTTATTTCCATTCTCTAACTTTTGATACGAACTGATCAGTTTACTTATGATACTTACTTTTTATTGTGCTAATATGAACAGGAACATAATTTCTAATTCAGTTTTAAATAATTTTATTAGTACTGCTAACTTGAAAGAAAAAATTTGGTTTGTTCCTCAGTGTTAGAGAAAGAGTCCATAAAACAGTTACCCTAAGGGAATGTCAATCACACAGTGATAAGTTGTGAAAGCTTTGAGAATCAACTGTGTAAGTTACTAGCAGTTTATCTACTATCATATTTAACTGTGACTTTGGATATTCTTTTATGCCAAAAGCAAACTCACATGAGCACATGACAGTCTGAGCTCTGTAATCGGTGTGCTTCTGCTGTGCAGAAATATTAGGGACCTATTGTCTAAATAGCTTTGATAACTGAAGTGTTTAATACTTACTGAGATACGTTGTTACTCATTGTTTTAAATGTTTTTTTTCTTCTAATAAAGATTTAGATAAGAAAAAACTCTCTGCATTTTCATTTCTTTAAGCTAGGAAAACACACCTACTAGGACAAGATTTCCTCTGTGTCAAATATCTTGATTTCTTTTAAAAATCTAGATTTATCTTTAAAATGGTTTTTCTCTTTTTCCTAGCTGTGGATTGATAGCCAAAGCAAATAACTGAAGGTGATAATTTATGCAAAGTAAGTCAGTCATAGATAAATGGAGAAGAAATGGATTTTTTTTTCAACCCAAACAATGGCCTAAATTAGTTTTTTAATTTGCCAAAGGTTTTCTCAGTCCCTCTTTTGGTTTTGGCCAGTTTCATAAGAAGCAAATCTCATCAGTTTAAAGACAGGGATAAGTTTGCATAGTGTAAAGAATGTGAACACAAATTAACAATAATTTTCTTAGGTGAGATTAAACATCACTATCACTGGTTTAGCTCAAGCTAAAAATTTTCTTAGGTTCAGATATTCCTTATCAAATGTATGAGTCTATTCTAAAATTGAATTATATATTAAATCTTCAAACTTAATTTTTCTTTAAAATTTAATGGGTTTCTTTTTTTTTCACTTTTTTTTGTTTTTTTTTTCATTTATTTTTATTAGTTGGAGGCTAATTACTTTACAATATTGTAGTGGTTTTTGAAAATAGAAAATAATATTGCAATTCTCAGGGTTATTTTAAAATACCCTGTATTTAATAACATGTTTGTTAATATACTAATAGTTCTTTTATTTTAAAAAAAATGCCATTTAATTTCCAGAAGAAATCCAAATCTTGCTTTATATTTTAATAATAACTTCCACTTTTAGATGATAAAGTACTGATCATATATGTAAATAAATTGTTTGAAATTGGACTGTGATTGATTTGATTTTTCTATGTGCCTAGAAAGTTTAAAAAGACATTGTGACTCCACACAGTAAATTCACACTATTAAAGGTTCTGTGGGATCATCAGGTATAATGCAGTTATTACTTAAACTAATATTGGAAAGCAGACTGCATGCAACAATTCCTTATTTTCTTTTACTGTATAGCTGACCAGCACTCATTCCAATGTATGTTCTTTCACTTTTACAAGTGGTGTCTCAGGAAATTGCTCTTAAACTCTAACCAGGCATAGCAATTATCTTCAGTATTATCTGGTTCTGGACTGAGGAACATGCTTTATAAATCAGTCTTTGTTGGCATGCGATATGGGGACAAAACTGAACTAAAATCATTATTGCAGACCATGGATATGAAATTGTGTCCTGACATTTTTTTCCAGTTTCTTGCAAATATTATTCTTAGATGTTTACAAATGTTTGTGTTTTAAAATATAAGAATACAATTCAATAAATCATTGATGAAATACCTTACCAATATGTAGGAATAAATTACTTCTCCAAAGTTACTTCTCATATGTTTCTAGTCTTAGTGCTAAAATGGATGTTGACGACTTCTCAGAACCTAACTGAGTTGCTTCCGGTCCTTAGTGAATCATAACTCCAAAACAAAGCCAACTCCCATTAAAACAAACAAATTCATTTACTCATGAAAACTGAGTATCACTTTATGCCTTGGACATCAGGATGATGTCACAGTCACGGACCCTCTTAAAATATATCAGGCCAAACCGAACTGTTCTCTTCTCCTCATTTACGACTTTCCAATTGCTTAAAATGAAACAGCCAAAATAGCATATAAACTGGCAATATCTTCTCTAATGGTTTCTGTGCTGGGAAGAATGAGGGCTGTTATGTGACACATTTAAAAGCAATCAATTCACTTTTACTATTTGAAGTCACTATTTTTTTTAACACCTCAGATCTTTTTTTCCAGTCCTTCTTTCTACTGTATGATTCAGAATAAGAAAATGGAAAAAACAATCTTGTGAATGAAGTAAAATGCCCATCTACTGCTGACTTAAAAATATGGACATCTTCATATTTTGGCCCTTTACTATACATGGTACTAAGAGCATCACATTTTAACAAAGATGGGAGAGGCTTATCAAATGAAAAGATGTTTCCATTCTGCATATAAATTAAAGTGAGTCTGGACTTAACTCATTGTTAGATTAATCTTGAAATCTCCATATTCTTCCACCCAAATGGAAGGGTGAATATGTGTCTGCAGTGAACAGAAAGAAGGAAATGAAGGTAAAATGTTGGGGAAAGCACTGGTGTCCAAAGAGAGAACA